AATATTTCAACGACTTAACTATAGCTATAAGTTCCTTCTTATAAATGTCGTAGTTCTATTTAGCGGGCGAATACTTTTCGGAGTAATAGGTAACAGGGTACTACTTTCCGGATTCGTCTAGTTACAGATAAACAGTACTAACAGTAGTATCTAAGGCATCGGTCTCGATCCTACTAGGTTTGTCTTCGTCGAAGCTTCTTATTATTAGGTTGCTAGTAAACCTATCTTTTAGCTACTAGAACGCGGCTTTCTCGGGTTCCCCTATAAAGAATAGCACGTCTTTTCGCGTAAGTCGTATTAGTAGGGTTACTATATTAGAGTATCCTTTAATAAACTGTCGGTAGAAATTACCGAAACCGAGGAACGATTAGACGTCCTTAACACAGGTCAACTTAGGCCAATCCGCGACTCGTTAGATTTTCTCTAGTTCGATACTTATCTTCCCCGGTTTAATGACATAACTAAGGAACGTTATTCTCTAAACTCTAAATTCGTACTTACTTAGTTTTAACCTAGAGTCTACCTTTGCTAAGGCCTCTAAGACTAAACAGACGTATTCTTTATAATACTCTTTATCTTCTAAGTAGATAAGAAGGTCATTAAGGTAGTAGATAACAAACTTGCCGAGGTATTCTCGTAGAATGTTATCGTTCTACCTTTAGTATATCGCCGGTACGTTCTTTACTCCGAATAGTATAACTAAGGGTTTGTAGAGTCCCGAGGGTACTAGGAAGGCGAACTTCTATTCTTCGCCCTTCTTAATCCGTATTAAGTTAAAGGCGTTCCTCTAGTCTACTTTCGTAAATATCCTAGCCTTAGCTAGCTTGTCCCGCAAGTACTAGGCGTTAAGCAACGGATATTTATTAGCGATAGTAATATCGTTAACTCGTCGGAGGTCAATATAAGGCCTTCCGTTATTATCGCCTAATTTCGCGACGACTAGTATATTTAATACTATTAGTAATTTAGATTCTCTAATCTATCCCTTCTTAAGTACTATTTTGACGTATTCCTCTAGCGTCCTAGCGGTGTCGAAACAGTGTCGCCTTAAGGTTTCCGAAGGGTATTTCGCTCCTTCTTTAAAATTAATTTTATAATCCTATAGTTAATATTCGGGTAAGGCTCGAAAGTCTTCCGGGTTTTCGAACAACTTCTTATACTTCTAATACTATATAGGTATTTGTTTTTCTATACCCTTACTAGTATCCTATAGAGGACCCTCTAGTTATTTAAGGTGTCCGGGCGCCTTAGAAAGAGTGGCGTAAACTCTATTCCGGCCCTCTAGTCAATATAAACCCTTATATTAGTATTACGTAAACTATACTTCTTCGGTTTTCTAATTTATCTCTAGGTTATATTTCTTTATCTATAGTATTCCTAGGAGGACTTCCTCCTTGCCTATTAGTGTAATATTAAACTATAATTCCTTAGTATGTCCGTTGACTACTATTCTAAGAGGAATAGTTATTCTATTAATAACTCCTTCGTCGGATACGACTCTTTAATCGTCCACTCCGCGTAGGGTATAAGGTTTGTCAATAGGCTTTACTAGGGAATTTATTCTTCTAACTATTTGTAAAGAAATGAAGTTTCCTATGGCCCCTATATCTATTAGGGCCTTAACTTCCTTTCCTCGTAGCTTTATATTTAATACTAGGCGGTTCCCGTCCTTAGTCTTCGCTACGGCGATAGTCTGTATTCTAGGGTCCTTCCTTAGTTCTAGTACTACGATATAAATATAGTACTTAAACCTAGGGAAGTAATTTTCCCTTTTCGGAGAGATATATATATAACAGTTGTCGTAGTAGTATACTAACTAATAGATTAAACTATAGTCCGAATATAGTAGCTACGTGGCGTTATATACCTCTAGTTCGTCGAGCTTATACTCCGAGATATAGGCTTCCTAGGCGTTGACCTAATCTATTCTCCGCTATAGTCGGCTTTACTCTTAGAGCGCTTACTCTAGTTTTATACTAGTTTCGAACTATTTCCGTCTAACTTTCTCGTTAGTAAGTCCCTTAGCCTCTAGATCTCTTACTCGGGTTTTCTCTATATTCTTAGCCTTCTTTCTAGCTAACTCCCTTTCTTCGTCTATAGCTAAGGTGGACCTTATTCTTACGTAAGCTTTCTAAAGCTCTAACTAGAAGTTCTCTTCCTCCTTATCTGTAAGGTAGATCTATTTGTAGAGATTTTCCTTAAGATTCTCTTTAGACGGGGTTAGAGCGACTGTCCCCTTATTAGTTTCCACGATAGTTTCTAAGTCTTCGCTATCAGATCGGGCTAACTATTAATCGAGTTCTTTTATGTCAGAGTCTATTAGACTAATCTTTCGGTGGATACCCTCCGCGTCCGATTTTATTTCTAAGGGGTAGTGTTTTGTAACCACTTTTACGGTTTTAGAATTTTTTCCGTAATTCCGGGCTTAATACCCTAGCTTCTTATATTCAAAACATAGTCCTTCTACCCTTAGTCTTTTACGCTTAGCTAGTAGTATAGACTTCTTATTTTTCTTCTAAGTCCTACCCTTCGTCACCGCTTTCGTATATTTCGTTAGCTCCTAATCTATTAGATCACTATAGTAGTTCTTTGTTAGACGTATATAGTGAGAATAGACTCCTTTCTTTTCGATGCGACGCTCGTACGCTTAGTTATCGATTTTAATAGCGGCTTCACTTAGCTCGTAAAGGTTCTTAAGAGGATCTATACGCGATAATTCGTCTTTTACGAACTCCTTCAATCCTCTATAGAATAACATCCTTAGGGCTTTATCGCCTAGTCCTAACCGGGCTAAGGTTTGCTAGAAGTCGACATTATAGCGGATAGCTGACCTAGTCTAGGTAAGCTTAAGTAATACTAGCTCCGACTTTTTCTTAATATCGATATCCCTAAAGGCCTTCCTTATACCGGCCACGAAGTCTTTTATTAATTTGAAATAATCTTTAACGAACTAGGAGTAAACCGTAGATACTAAGCCCGTCTAGGTCTTATTCTCCTAGTAATCGCTAATATAAGGCTCGATCTAGTTATAGGCCCTTCCCTCGAAGCGCGAGATTAGGAACAAAACCTTGTCCGTATCGTTCCTAAACTTGTCTCCGTAAAAACCTATATAAAGCTAAGCCTTTATAATAAACTACTCCAGGTTAGCTAGAGTTCCATTATACTTATCTAGAGGAGGGATTCGTAGGCCTTCTTTTGCCTCGATTACGGTAGGGACTAGTAGTAGTGGCGCCAGGGTTCCTACGACGCTTCCGGCTAGACTAGTAACATTTGGAGCTATTATTAATAATCTAGTACTTACTAAGAATAGGTACTCAAAGTATAACGATTCGGTTCTACCTAAGGTAGACTAGGGTTATCGTAAGGTTAGTATATTAAGAAGTAGGTACAAGATTGTCACTTATAGATTTAGAGATCTATTCGTTACAATAAGAGTACGTTAAACAGATAATATACTATTACTATAATAAGTTAAGCACAAAGCTCCTATCTAAGGAAATTACAATTATTATATAGAACTTCCTTTCCCTAAGTTCGATAGGTTCGCTAGTCGAACCCGTCGAACTCCTGGCCGGTTCGACAGGTTCGCCTAGCGAACTTGTCGAACTTCTATTATTACGTGACGGCGCCTTAAACCGGGGCCTATCGGCTAATATAAACATTACTAATATTAACTAAATTAAGCCATTAGACGGCAGTCCCAGGAACTACTCGATTCCCGTGACCTCGCCTAATCCCAGGACTTTTAGTCCTAGGAGTATTACGACGCCGAGGCCGACGCTGTTCGTGACATTAAACTAGTCCTTTAGACTCTAAAAGGTAGTTGTCCGGGTAGTATAGAACTTCTAAGTCGATATACTTAGAAATACTATATTGTTCGCCTAAGTTTAGGTACTCGTTATAGAATAGAACCTAATCTAGCGTAGACTTAAGTATACAATAGTCTTAAGTACTAATCTTAATAGTAGTTATTATAGTTATTATGTTTCTTTAGGTAATATAAATAAAAGAGTATAGATTAATTTAGGGGAATCTTAGAAACGAAGTAAGGTCTTATAGAACTTCTACCCTATACTATAATACTTATAAAGTTAATATACGTAGCTATAGAGCTGTATACCGGGCTTATAACTATTACATAGTATGTAGGCAGGGTGGAGGTTTAGTATATTAAATAAGTCTAACTCCTTAGGTTTAGGACAGCTAAGTATCTAATATATATAGCCCTATACTTAGCACGTGCCAGTGAGCAGCCTAAGCCACTCCCTTGTGGCGTACCTGAACCATATTGCCCACGTGACTAACCTGGTCTGCGACAAATTAGATAAACAAATTTAAGCTTTTTGTTATTTAAAAATACTTGATTCCATAAAAGATTCTTAGATGTGGAATGTAGTTTTATCGTCGTTGAAAAAGTCAGTCTTAGGCATTTGGTAAGGTATACCTTAGTACCTACTAAGGCCCCTGGTTTTTGGTACCAAAATTTTTGATTTCATTTTAGGTTAGGTACCTACTATTTAGGTACCTTAGTATACCTTAGTTACCCGGGTTTTTTTTAGTAAATGTTAAGGATATACTTAGCTACTTATAACGGCCGAAAAGGAGGCTCGAGGGAGGGTAGAGTAGGTCCCGGAAAAACGCTTATACCGGGTCCGACTCGGACCGGATCTTGCCGGGCTCCGATCGGGTAATTGACGGGCCCGGTATCGCGGGTACTAAAAAGGTTACCTTAGTACCTAGGTAATTTTGAGTACTAAATAAAGTATATCCTCATTAGTACCGGTACCTACTAAGTAAGGCTCTTAGTATATACCTTGGTTACCAAATGCCCAAGACTGGAAAAAGTATTTATTGCATCACGTGATGACAAATGGGCCGAGGTCGAATATGGTTGAACCAAAAAGCTCAGCAAAAATAATTCGACAGGATTACAACAACCGTACGAAGTTCAATTGGTGAGGTACATACTTCCAACCAACATCCGTACTTTACCCCTCGAAATGGCGACCCCAGTCACCATCAAGGTTTCGAATCGCAGTACGTTGCATTTGCATCGCCGCAATTTCCATTTTCAACACTGACATCTTCTGCTAGATCCAAGAAAGCCAATAAAGCGATTGCCTTCAAGCATTGAGGTTACGGATGCGACAACAGTTCAAGATGTGAAGGATAAACTTGGGAAGCAGGTCGGACTTAATCCAGAACGATTGGGCATTTCGGATCCAGAAAAGAAGAAGCTCTTGTCGGACAGGAAAGCGCTTATAACCAAACACAAAGAGGTTCTTGGAGGACTTGAGATTCTGGTGAAAGATCTTGGTATGCCAAAAATTTACCTCAAATTCATTGCATTGGGCTAATTTTCGCAGGACCACAAGCTTCTTGGACGACCGTCTTCGTTATCGAGTACCTAGGCCCAATTCTGATCCATCTATCGTTCCTCGCGATCCGCCCATATATCTACAGCAATCCTGGCCCTCTTTCCACGTCCCAATACCTCAGCATGGCTATGATCGTTCTTCATTTCCTCAAACGCGAATACGAGACCCTCTTCGTTCACCGATTCTCCCTCGCAACGATGCCATTCTTCAACATCTTCAAGAACTCGGGACATTATTGGGTATTTTCTGGTTTTAATCTCGCGTACTGGATCTACAAGCCAACATCATATACTGCGAAGAGTTCCCCAGCTATTGATTCCATCAACTATGTCGGAATTGCACTCTACCTCTTCGGCGAGATCGCCAATTACAATGCGCATGTGGTTTTGAGCAAGCTTCGCAAGCCAGGAGGAACGGAAAGAGGTATTCCAAAGGGATTTGGATTTGATACTGTTACGTGTCCAAATTACTCCTTCGAATTGATTGCATGGACTGGTATTGCTCTTGTTACTAAGAGCTGGAGTACGGTGCTATTTGGCATTATCGCGTATGGGCAGATGCGGATTTGGGCGCAAAAGAAGGAGCGAGCATTACGGCAGTTGAGTGATAAGTACAACAAGAAGAGAAATGGTATTATTCCTGGTCCATGGAGAAAGTTGTAACCTTGGTGTTGGGTGTGAGTGTGTACGATAACCATCAGACACGGAGCGCAGGATTGGGTATCTGTCGGAAGTAGAAATGACTGATTAGCAGACAAATTGGCATCTACTAATAATGACTTGCTAGTTTGGTGTATATAGGTTATAGAGCAGCAGAGACATTAGATACTTATGTTCAACGACTTCATCACAATCAACGCTACTGGTCGTTGGGTACAAGATTAGACCTTTCAAGGGATTTGTTACCAGACATCTTGTGTAAGCCATGCTTCTTGCTCGTGTTGTAATGTAACTTCCCCTCTTGACCGCGGAATCCTTATCTATTGACATATTCGTACTACTGAGTTTTGCACGGTGGTGTATACAGTCCTAAGTTGAAAAGGATCAGGCAGGCACCCAGAAATCATATACTTTGAAGAAAAGGCTGATATTTATCTATGTCTGTTATTTAAAGATTGCTATTTTTATTAGTATCAGTCTAGACTAATTGTTATTGAACAACCTGGGGCACACCAATCTGACTTTCAGGGGCACTCCAAGATATGCGAGTTTTTGGTCTGTTCGCGGCCAGACGATCATTGGGCCACAACCATGGCATTGTCGAAGATGTTCAACCGGGATTAACTTGTTGAAGCTTTTGATAGAAACCAAAACGAGGTCAGAATAAGCATATGTTTTCGCTAGAATCGAATTGAGCTCAGTAGTAAATTCCACGTAAAAGATGCTGATAGTAGCTGCCATTCACGTGTCCTGCAGGCTCACGAAACGGTACCTTTTCAGACCCCCTGCCTCGCTCCCGCTTGGGCCACCGAGATATCGTGCAGTGTCATGGCCAAATCGAGCACTGCACTCGACCTCCTAGATATATCGAATACAGATTCGACACCAGAACGGAATGAAGAGTATTGGCCATTTATTCGACTTGATTGAATGGAAATCAAAACAAAAAAACTCTCTTCCAATCATCAGTATGGCCCCCGTATTTGAAACATCACTCAATCAAGGTGGTAATGAGCAGGAGAGCCACTCGCAGATACGGTTTGACCCCTGACAGCCTCACCTACACGTCTGGGTACGGAAAAAAAGTGTCAAAGCTCAACACCACCACATCCATACATCTGCAATCGCCCATGATCTGTGACAATTTATTTTCCACCCACCCTTTCGCTCCCACCACACCAATACGCGGCACCGCGCCATCGATTCTGCCTTCCCTCATGTCTCGAAACCTCAATTGCTATTCATGATCTTTTGCAGCGCATCGTCACCTCCACGAATCACTATTTCCCTCCCACTCCAGCTTCACGCGCCGAGTACTCCAGTCTTCGAGCCGTCCAGGAGAGAGGATGCCCTGGGTCGCCCTTCCTCGAATCGCATTTGCTGTCGCCACATATCCCTTTACCGCATCGTCGCCGGCAGATTTGCCGTTGGAACTCGGCGACGAGCTCTATATCATCGAACAGGGTGGACAGAATGGGGACTGGTTCCGCGGGTATCTGGTCGCGCCTCCGAGCTTGCTAGCAGGCTTGACGAGCACCAAAGGCCAGACGCTTGAGGCGCGGGTCTTTTCTGGTATCTTCCCTCGGAGTTGTGTGGAGGTGCGAGAAGTCCTCGGGGAAGATGATGAGGGGTCGGATGAGGAGGGAGCATATGGGGATACGAAGCCGCCATTGACCAATGGTTTTGGGCTCAGAAATGGAAGCTTACCAGGCAGCGTGGACTCGAGTCCACTGGCAAGTCCAAATTCGGTACAACGGCTGAAGAGCAAGTCAGGAAGTCTGCAGAAAGCCAATGCGAGGTTGACCAAAGGCGACAAAGCAAGCAGGAAAAAAAGGAGTCCTAGCGGTATATCTTCTGCCATGTCCTTGATACCAAGAAGAGACCCGGATGCTCCCAAACCACCTGCTCCTGTGCCAATGTTGAAGATTGGAGACGAAACGCCTACGTCGGCTTCCGAACCACTGGTGGACGAAATCGCATCTTGTTTGCGAGAATGGCAGTCTACAAATCTCCACGAGCTTTTGCTTTCGAGGCAGTACCCGCTGCTGGAAAAAATGTCGAATTTGATCCAGTCATTGGATATGTCGAGGAGGCAGTTGCTTCACAACGTTTTGACGGCACACGAGCTTCGCATTCTGCGCGAGAAAACCGTATGGGATCTGGTAAGGGGCAACAAGTTGTTTAATGGCGAAGTAATTGTGCGGGATCCTGCTGCGCGTGGGAGAATATTGACTGGGGACGACTCAGCTGTCGAAATCACAACCCTACAGTCAATGATGACTTTGCTAGACGAACGACCCCAACCCGTTACAAGCGATAGACAGACTCTTCACCATCTGCTCATAGATGTGAAAGCCTTTGTCGGAGGCTCGACTGAGTCTACGGTGCTTGACTTTTTCTTGGCCTCGAAATCCCACGGACAGTCTGCGGTTGTGCTGTCGGAAAGCTATATTGTGGACTTCCCCCCTAGTGGCGCGCTGACAAGCCTGCCAAAAACAAATCAAATGCGCACTCTTTTCGCGGAACTCGCACCCTCAGACATTGGAGACCAGCAGTCCGTGGAAACCGAATTATTTCTTGTTGTCAAAGTTCGGTCGACAGAGCATGTGGTCGTGTCAGGAAAACCAAGATCTCGAGGTGGTTCCGTGTCAAGGGATGGAGGAACAGCACAAAGTCGAGACAAACCACCCCTGACGGCTGTCAAATCGGGGAGGAGAAGTCTTATGTGGGGTCAAAAGTCGCAGCGGTCCACGTTTTCGAGGAATGCTCCAAATTCGTCTAAACTCAACAATGTTTCCGAGCAGATGGACGGCGTTCGGGAAGACAGCATTGATAACCATCACCCGCCCAGCACTTCCGGGTCGCGGGGTCCTGCAACAAAAGAACAGAGGTCCGTATCTATCAGCAGAAGTGTAGCAAGGACTGTAGGAATTGGAGCCTTGAAGATCAATTCTATCATGAAGCAGGAGGAGGAAGTGGAACAGGTGATGACGGTATGGGCGCCCGCTGCTGGTTTCAAGGACGACAAACAAGATGTGCGCGATGGCTGGGAAGAAGTGATTCGTGATCTAGTGCGAAGCAAATCTGGGGCCTACGAGCGATCCCGAAGAGCAGAGCGGCTACAAGTGCAGCTTAAATCTTTCGAAACTGCAGACGTGGAGGGTTTGATCAAAGCCACACCAACCTTGCTCTCTAATATCTCGATTACAAACAAAATGGGATTTTCTGGGGCCCCTACGAAGCCTCGATCTGACATTTATATCACCCTCGACGACGCCCATTTACCCCGCCATGCACTGCTCTCACGGTCAGTGGGTAGCGCCAGCCCTCTTACCAACAATTTGAATAGTTCCAATCTTCAAATTAAGCTTGAAGTCCGAAAATTGTCGGGCGAAAGAGTAGAGTCTTGTATCTTTGCATCTTCGAATGCTGAAGCTGAAAGTTCCTGGGAGTCTACAGCTACCGAGCGTGGTGATGCGTGGAGTCAAACAATTCGCTTGTCCATACCACCGGACGCCGTACCGCAATGTCATATTGTGATGACACTCTGCGATTCGCCAAACCAACCATTAGCAATCTCGTTCTTGCCCTTGTGGGACCAGCAAGCTTTCCTGCGAGACGGACATCACTCTTTACTGTTGTATAGATACGATGATACTACTTCAACTCCCCATGCTAATTCTGCTGGTAAGGGTGGGTATCTTAATCTGACATGGAATGCCAGAGGCAAAGACGATGTCAGCATGGATGAAGCTGTTACGGGCCCTGTTGCTCTTCTACGTGTCAAAAGCTATCTTTGTAGCACGCGATTCTCCCAAGACAAGGTTCTACTGGGATTGCTAAAGTGGAAAGAACAGCCGTCTGGGAACCTCCCAGACCTTCTAAAACGGCTCGTCTTTGTGCCCGAGATTGAGATTGTTAAACTGTTAAACGAGGTGTTTGACTCCATCTTCAGCCTACTGGTTGCCCACGCCAATCAGGACGATGTAGAGGACCTCATCTTTAGCGCCTTAGTTACAGTTCTTGGGATTGTGCATGATCGCAGATTCAATTTGGGCCCTCTCGTGGATCACTATGCCGACAACATATTCAACTATCCCTTCGCGACTGCCCCCCTTGTCAGATCTTTCACACGACTTCTGGCGAATCCTTCCGACCCCGAGACATCACGCAAACTACGAGCTACCTTTAAAGTCGTCCGCCATATCTTGAAGTTTATCATGCACGCGAGGGACCAACAGAAAGGCAAGGAGGCTAATCTTGGTATCCTGAGCACAGATCCCGAATTCGCCAAACATTTGAGGGCAATATTCAAGGCTCTGGACGGTCTTATGCGAAACACAGCGCCTATCCTTGTTGGAAGTCAGACTTTGGCAGTTCAGCATTTTCACACTTGGTTGCCAGAACTCGACCGCATTCTAAGTACAGAAGAGATTCTACACATCGCAATCGATTTTATGGATTCATGCGCACTGGTGAAAGGAAAACTTGTGTTGTATAAGCTTGTTGCCATCATCAACTACTCGAAGCTAGAGCTTTTCCAGGCACCTGAGCAAAAGGCTGCTTTGAGCGCCAACACAGCCAGATGGCTCGCCCCCCATTGGGGCAAAACAATAGAAGTCACCGACCAGTGGAAGGACCAAGTGAGGTTGTGTTGTTCTATACTGTCAACGCAAGTTGATGGGCTTGGATCAGAGATTCCGGAATACATCCCAAGATAATTGATTCGTATCTTGCAATCCAATCGCGTCCGCACACTCCAAAAAATCGTGTCTCGCTCCTCTTTCCCACGACGTATCCATTTCCGACCAAGCCTACTACGGAACCCGTCCAGTTCGATGAGGCCTTGGTTGAGCTATCTGCTGCGCTTTCAGCAATTACTAGCTTGCCAGCGGGAATGCAACTTGAGATGGCCGAAGAGGACATGTCGACAATTCTCGAAGAAATGCTTCATGTGCATCTTAGCATACTTCGTGGCGAGGCTTTTCCCGCTCAATGGTTGAGCGTGCATATCTTCCACCACAAATCTACTATGAGGACATTGGAATACATTGCGAGTATACTTCTCGAATATTTCTTACCTGAGCCCGAAGATGCTGAGAACTACAACACCGAATTATGGAAGATTTTTTTCACGACGCTGTTGACACTTGTGGGAAGCGATGCTCTCGCGCTTGAGACATTTCCTGAGCAGAAACGTCGCGCTGTCTGGAAAATAGCCGGCGACGTCCGAGAAACTGGTGCGGAGCTGTTGAGACAGACCTGGGGGGCAATTGGGTGGGAAACGAGTCTCGAAGAGCAAGGAAAATACAACCTCAAAAGAATGGGTGGCTATCAAGTGCAATATGTGCCTGGTCTCGTTGGGCCAATTGTCGAGCTTTGCTTGAGTGTACACGAGGGTCTGCGACGTGTAGCAGTCGAAGTCCTGCAGACGATGATCATCAGTGAATGGACGCTGAGCGAAGATTTGTCTGTCATCCAGACCGAGATGATTGACTGTCTAGACCGTCTGTTCAAGTCCAAACCATTGACAGAAAGTGTTCTGCAGAAGCTGTTTATCAATGATCTACAGAACCTGTGCGATCCATTGGCAAGCGCTGGGGAAGAAGAGCTTCATAACTCACTCAGAGAACTTATTTCCACCATAGACGAGTTCTTGGATCTGCTTGTAGCTGTGCACAGTACAGACAATGCTGGCGAGGCTTCCCAGATGATCCATCGCTTGCGTCTCATGGAGTTTCTACGAGACATGCAAAAAGAAGAGATCTTTGTTCGATATGTTCATCAACTGGCCCAGCTTCAAGCCGACGCGCGCAACTTTACGGAAGCTGGACTTGCGCTTCGTCTTCATGCTGACCTGTACGAGTGGGACCCTACAAAGATTGTTACCGCGTTAGTCGACCCCGACTTCCCAACTCAATCGCAGTTTGACCGCAAGGAGCGCATTTACTTCGACATAATCAAGCATTTCGAGGACGGTGAAGCTTGGAGCTGTGCACTTTCTACGTACCAAGAACTGCAACAGCAATACCAGGAAAATGTTTACGACTTCCCAAAGCTTGCTCGAACCCAGCGTGCCATTGCCACAATCTACGAGAAAATATCGAAAACTGAGAAACTCGTTCCCAAGTATTTCCGCGTCACGTACAAAGGAATGGGGTTCCCGGGCAGTTTACGGGACAAGGAATTCGTCTTCGAAGGTTCGCCCACCGAACGAACGTCTGCTTTCACGGATCGCATGCAGGAGCAACACCCTTCGGCGCAGATCGTTACCGCTGGCGATGTGGAAGATGTCGAAGGTCAATTTCTTCAGATCTCGGCTCTCAGTCCCCATCGTGACTTGGACAATCATGTCTTTCAGCGGGCTCGCGTGCCTCAAAACATTCGCGATTATCTGCTCGCTGCTCATCCTCAGCTGTTCTCTGTTACTTCAAAGCGCAACACTTCTGGTCCAGTCAACGAACACTCTGCGGAAAAGATCATTTATGCAACGGCGGAAGCGTTTCCTACTATCCTCCGACGGAGCGAAATCGTCGCCATTGATCGCGTGACGCTCACCCCCCTACAAACCGCCCTTGAACGTATCGTACGCAAGACGCAAGAAATGTCTGTCGTTGAAAAACGCGTCGCTGATGGTGAAGAAGACATGGCTCCGCTTCTGGTCGATGCTTTGAACATCTCAGTCAATCCAAACTCAGACACCAGTGTTGCGCAATACCGGGAGCTACTCCCAACAAATATCGATGGCGAGGAAGTCGAAGAAGTGGAACTGTCGCCGCTCGAGAATGCTCTTAAAATTGCCCTGATCGACCATGCTGTGATGATCAAGCGTTGTCTCGCTATGTTTGCTAGACCTCTCCCAAAGCCACAAGTTCCACGTCAAAATAAAGAGGAACTTGCACAGAGTAGCTACCCCTCAATTTTTTCCCCTCCAAAACTCTATCCTAGTATTCAGGGCAGCATTCTAAAATCAAATGCAGATTTCGAAGCTACGTTCGCGCCTGAGCTTGCCTCTTTTACTTTCCCACAGTCGCAACCGCAGACACAGCGGGAATCTACCCCTACTCCATCATGGGCACTATCAAGTCCTTCCCTGAATGGACGACGGGAGAGTTTACGAATGCTGCCGCAAAGCAATACCAACGGTACTCTCGCGACACAAGACACGGGCAATTCCCTCGACTCGCAGCGACAGGGTAGAAATCGGCTTAGCTTTCTCAAGAGGGCCCCGCCATCCTTGAGCGAACAGTTGCCCAACCCACTGAGGTCACAGCCGCCAGATCAGGCTATGGTTCAAGCATTAGCGTTGAGTAATGGAAATGGGAACAGTGCAAAAGGTTTACCTGCAAACGAGATATCCATAGAGGAGTCTTTCGAAAGCAACCGATCACGGTCGAAGGAAAACAGAAAGTCATTCTTCAGCGGTTCAAGCGTGACCAACGGAACAGGACGCGGCAGAGAGCGAGACAACACACTTGAAAGGGTGATGAACCAAGCGCTGAGCGAAGATGGCGAATGGCTCACCTCTTCCGACCTCACAGCTGCAAGCAACACCCGATCACGAAGCGGAGGCGCCGATTCGAGAAGAAGTACCAGCTCTCAACGACCCGATACCTCAAGCGTTGGAAGCAAAGTCGGCAGTGTTCGAAAACGATTGAGTCTACTCAAACTCGGAAAGAAATCAAGCAAAGCTAATGTCTTGGTCAGTACGGTGACGGAAGAAGATTGAGAGGGATTGCGATTGGATGATGAAAATGTTTCTGGAATTTTTGTATGTGGTTTTTGTTTATATATCATTGGGCACAAAGAGACGTTATTTGGAGTGTGGGTTATTGCGATATTAGTGCTGGATACCCCTTTATGTTGTGTGTTTTAATTAGGTTTGGTTTGTCTTTTGAAAATGAAGTTTTGAAGCTGAGGGCTTCGTTTGGATGGGGAGGATGATTGTTTTTTGGAGGGGGCTTTGTACAGATGGGGGTTCTGTGTATATTGAGGGCTGAGGGGTTGGTGAGTAGTTAGTTGCCAGCGGGTGTATTATATTGTGAGGTTGTGGAAAATTTGAGTGTTTTTGAAGATAATTCGGGTTTGAAATCTACGTGATTCATTATTTGTGTCAAATAGTACTGTCGATTCGGCTTAAAATCTCTTCGTAAGTGTAATGAATAGGCCAGGTTCTGGTGATCAGTAGTATCACAGAGGTCTTAACTTCTTTAACACAGCTACTCTGGGCTTTTGTATTTCCTTTTTTCTCAGTTTCGATGAATTTGTTTTGAAGTCACCCACTAAAACAACAAATCGCGATATAAGTATCGCACTTTACATTTCCTTCTAAATAGACCCCCCCATCTAAAGTGTTGCTAAGATGTATTTTTGTCATTTGACTGAGAAATGCTATTGATATATTTGGGGTAACACGAGAATCGAGTGCAAAATGTGCTCCGATGAGAAGCTGTATTTTACTTTCGTTCGTAGCCTGTCTGGATACAGGTATAGTACGTTCTATCCTTCCTGAAACAGGTTGAGTAGAGAAGATCTACGGCGTGTTGGATTATCTAAGTACTCGCGGCTTTTTAAAGGAGGCGATATTCATGTGCAAAATGTGCTCCGAAGGGGAGCTTGATTTGTCGAAGGAGCGGATGATATACTGATTATAACTAATCGTTCCTAGAGTATTGTTTACATTAGCCTTCTAACGAGTAACAAGTCATAATTCTGTCCCCTGTTTACTGTTTAATATTGAAGTTGATCATTACACATCTTTTGATGTGTTTAGACGGAGACGAATTTGAATGCAGGATATACTTCGATGAGAAGGTGTATTTTGCGTTATTGTAAATGGCCTGATGGTTTATGGGTTTATAGAGTGATCGGTGAAGTCTTGTACACATGACTTTTGGGAGCACGTAGTTTCGTCTTAATCCTCGGAAAAGTTTTAACCTAGTTAGACAAACACGAAATTCAGGTACAAGATATACTCCGATGAGAAAGTGTACCTTTTATAATTTATAAATAGCCTAATGGTTTACTGGTTTTAGATAACGAGATATAGAGGTGTTATCTAATTAAATTGGCATTTTAAGGGTACGAAATTTCGTTGCTGTTCTCTGTTTACTGCTTTGTATTTAATGTCGAAGTTGATAATGGTACAACTTTCAATGTATTTGAAGGGAAACAAAATTTAAGTGCAAAAGGTGCTCTCATAAGAAGGTCTAGTCAAGTAATCGTGAATAGTTAAACGGTCTATGGGTTTAAAGAGTCATAAGTGGATTCTTGTATACACTGGCTTTTTTTGGAGTTCAGAGTTTTGTTTCTATTCTTTGTTTACTGTTACAAGTCTAACACGAAATCTGAGTTGAGTTATTCCAATACACAATTTGATTTGTAAATTTTAAGTACCTCTTTAAGGCATCGGAGCTGGGTCACTACTCTGAGATGCATTTCAAGCGATGAAGCAACTGGTGTGTGATATAATATTCTGCGCAGTCGGACATAACAAGACTCATGCTAAGTTATTACATTAAGATGCTTGTTAAATATTACGACAGCTGTGAGTGAGTGACTTGATTCTTTGCACAGCTCTGATCAGGACTTTAACGGCAAAACAATATCCAATCTTCTTTTTTTTCATTAAACCATGGCACATGCCTTCTTGAATAAATTTACCTTAATCCAGCCTTGAAATTTGAATGTTTGGTGTCCAGTTGTTTGATCTGAAAGTTCTTGGTACGCAGGAAATTGTGTCAGTGACTAGTGAAGAGACCAAAATTGGGAATCGTCCTTCCGTTCTTGGGGTCTTCGTATTCCTCGTACATGACATGCGCCAGTGAGATTCGGTCCCAAGATTCAATTCCTGTGGTTGAAGACAGGTGTCAGATTACAAGTTCGAAAAGAGACAACGTAGTCATGCTAACGTACATCGGCCACAGAAACCAATGCGCTGAGACAAACGGCCGAAAGCAGCAACTTAGAAGGTCCTTGTCACTTTATTACGCAGATCATCGAACACAGGACAGCTTTGACAGGTTTACGGGCTCTTTTCCCCAGACGATGGACTGGGAAATTGGGTTGAATGCCGATCTTTTGGTCTATCTGAGTTCTCGGCTCGTTGTGGAAACTGACGTCTTGTGGTCGCAATTTTGGGCATCTGTGGATCATGTTGCATATTCACATTTCTCGTCTCAATCTAGTGATTTGTTGATTATTTTGTCGATGGGTATAGTCTCATTGGTAGCTTGTGTGGGATTGACATGACTTGTTGTTGTACTCGTAAGCTTCCACGGGAGTTGGCCATCCGAAATAAGTTTCCGAACTGCTGGTCCACAGTCGTTATTGGACAATGAGCTAACACTCAACCTGATATCGGACATCCCCAGAGACCATCGTAACTTTCGGCTCTAAAACATTCAATTCTGAGCTTCAGAGTTCCTACCAAGACCTTCCGCCGGGCGCCACACACCCCTTTAAAATTTCTACTCCTGATATAAGGTCAATCGTCGTCTCTTTACGTGTGATTAGCTCGATTCGTGCTATGCAGCATGCTTAGTACAGTCACACAAGCTAACTAAATAAATGTCCGCATCTCAACGCTAATGAGTAGCCCAATCGTGCGATTTCCTCGCTGACATCTGAGCTAAAAAAGTGCGACGGAAGCGTCTCGGTAGACTGAACCGACGAAGCGACATTTAAAACCTTCCAAGTTGTTCGGGCATTTTCCTACTCTGGCCCTGGGATCTGCTTCGCTATGACGAATTTGGTGTTGGCGGGAAGGATGTTTAGATGCAAGCACGGCACTGATCTGGTTAGTACGTTCCAAGAAGTGTCGGCTCTTCTTGGTCGGGGTCGTATTCGGGGTCCTATTTCGTGCATTCGTGACTTTGCTCTTTTGAGTCATGTACTTTCCGATTCAGGAAGAATTCAGGGTAGTACAAACTATGCGTTGTTTGATCCATTGGAAAGTGTGGATATCTGCAGGGTTGTTTCTATCTCAACCATCAATGAAGTGATACTACTGTACGATGACAGCACAAGTTTTTGGATCTCCGTTCAAGTCCAGAGGTGTTCAATTTGGGGAATATACATGATTTGTCCAGACCGAGTACACAAAAATGCAAAATTTATAGCCAGATAAAATGAAGATATTTGTTTTATTTGTATGTTGTCATTTAAGGGCTCTCGCTTTTGATTGCAGCACAGTACATAGCCAAATTATTCAGAGCAACTGAGTTGATTCCCCGACGTTCCTCTCTTCGAAACCTATCACTAGTTGTGCACTTTATGGTGACCCCTGGCAGACACAAGTTCTGTAAAGACTTTAGTTAAGAAGTCGAATGGGACAAATCAAAAGACTTACCCGTCAGCAGAGCATAGTCCACCATTTAATTGACCAGCCCTGACGCACCCGACTGAGCACGTAGAGTAACACGAGATGAGATCTCGCTTAGCTTTCTCTTCTGAAGACTCACGTGCAGTGAGACCAGTCAAACAATTACATGTCCCATCAGCAGCACAAATTCCTCCTTGATAGAATCCGTCCCGGACACACCCAACAGAGCATGTAGAGTAGCACTCAATGAGTTGTGGCGCTGGCTCTGGTGCAAATTCTCTTTTCGTGGCTTGAATTCCCTTCACACATGTGCATTCTCCCACGTCGGAGCAAAGACCTCCTTGAAGAAAGCCTTGCTTGACACAATCAACTCCGCATGTTGACCAGCAGCTGACTGACGGAGACTGTGGTGCGGCAGAAACGCTAGCGACGAGAGCAAAGATGGCAGCAATGTATGTGAACTGCATTTTGGAGTCTTGCGATGAAAAATGGAGTGAGATGGTATTCTGTATGTCGTTCTATAAAGCAGGTTTCAAATCGACTTCTTGATAAACCCAGAGAAGTCGAAGGCAGCCCTGTACTTATACGTTTGTTTCGACAACAACTTCGACTCCCTCCACATTTAAATGATGATCTCCTATCCTTCCCGTGGTTGTTGATCAAATGTGGGTTATCGTTTTCACTTCTCGTTAAGAATTAACGCTCCGAAAGAAGCCCAAGTCGTGCAAAGTACCAGTTGATATTAAAATCTCTGCAACTGCAGAATTTAACCAATATCAGTAAAGCATATTGTAGATCTAAGTAAAATCATGAAGACACCAATCCAATCATATGTGACCCTTGGCCTCTATTTTGATCAAAATTCAAGGCTCAAGGGCATGTTATGAACGACCGATGCAAGTGATACTGCTCTAGCTATTGGATTTCGATGCCAAAGTAACGAGACCCCTCGCAAGCTACCAGTGGAACTGTCAGTCACGGATCTCCGTTTCCTACATAAGCCAAAGACAGGGAATTGAGGGCAGATTGACGTAACCCGAAAGTCTGATTGATCTCACGTCTCTTCGTACCTGCATGATGTATGAGGCTTTGATATTCTTTTTCTTTTATCCACAATCATGATCCAGGTCAATACATGGAAAACAGCGATCTAGGTTATTTGGGCCTGAAATTGGGTTGCTCGGTTACTGTAACTAAATGCGAATCAAGTTGAGAAAAGGGCGTTCCATTCACTTGTTAGATTGTTCTGAGAGATGGCACATCATCTCAACAGACATGTCAGCCCGTGTTTGTGTTCTTGACACTTTTGGGTACGATTGCTGCTCTCCTAATCTTAGTACAGAAATTGAGACGCCCTTGACAGTCGTCATATGAATTCTGGGAAGATCTTGGTTGCTGAGGTCTCTTTTGCAGATTACTAGATAACTTCTTGGATCGTCAGCTTGTTGGCAAGCCTCCATATCTATGGCCCACTACTTGCAGTAAATGGGTCCTCTTTCAGCCAATTCCTGTGTTTCGTAAGGAGATAGTAGACTTTGAAGACATGAGCTTACAACTCCATAACTTTGTATACCCCGACTATACTTCCCCGCACGTCTCATCTAGGAGGCCAGTATCATGTTTTGTCCCAGACTTGTGGAGAGAAGGTCTACGAAAAATAAATTTGCATGTCGCTAAAGCAACTATCGGGGTGAAGGATCTCCCCTGAAGTCATTCTATTCTGTCAAACTCGTTGTATATGTGCTACCTTCAAGGTATAAAATATTCGATATTATTTGCTCTCATCTCTCAACTATATTACACTTTGCTTGCTAGCAATGCTTTCTCTATGTGCTTTCAAAATTTGCTTCTCGATCTCGCTTCGCTGAAACTTGTCTCTGTTGTTCTCTTCATCCTCGCTTTTCGTTTTGTCTTTAACGTTTCTGAATTCCAGAAATAAGCACGCCACCATGGCTAAGCCAGCCATCGGAATTGCTGCGGTAAAAACCTTTCGAAGCGCCGAATCATAAATGCGCACCAGTTCTGGTATTTGCTCAGTCGGCGCGACATCGCGGAAGTGAGCTGCCCCTGCTGACAGTACTCGTTCTATATCCACACCAGGAAGATTCGCATCAAACAACGAGTTTTGTAAAATGGTGTTGCCGACTGATACAAAAATAGCACCACCAAGCGATTGAAAGGCAACAACCGCTGCTGTACCGATTGCTACCTCTTCTAGAGGGAGCACAATTTGGATTGCCGTAAATCCTTGTTGGATCGCCATTCCAATCCCGGCTGATGCTAAAATCTCAAATCCTATCCATTTCGCGGATGATGTTTCCTCGTTGATTGTGCTTAATAGTCCACATCCAACAGTACCAATTGCACAACCTAAGACTGCTGGAATAGTAAAATAACCATTCTTTGAAACAAAAATTCCCGCTAAAAGGGAGAAGACAGCATTCGCGGCAACATATGGTATCATATTGACTCCAGAATGTATCGCACTGTCGTTCTTGACAGCTTGGAACCAGATTGGTAAATAATAAGTGTGGATCAGAATCGCCGAATAAATAAAGAACGCAGCTGCGCAACTAGCCGCCACGGATCTTTGCTTCAAAATACGTGGAGGCATCAATGCTCCATCCGCTTTCCACCATTGCCAACCTATAAATGTTATAAATGTCATCCCCGATCCGGCAAGCAGACCGATAACCCTGGCACTTGACCATGGCACTCTATCTTCTGTAAGTTGAAGTGCCGTGAAGAGCATAACACAGGCCCCTAGAAGTATGACATTTCCAGCTAGATCTAGCTCCATGACACGATAGAAAAATGATTTATCCAGCAAAGCATGTCGAGCGGTTGGATGGAAGAAGAAGATCATAGCTAGGGCTGTGGCGCCACCAACCGGGAGGTTGAAGTAGAAACACCATCTCCAAGTTACTAAGTCGGTAAAGACACCGCCGAGTAGTGGCCCAACTGTTGCTCCTACGCCAAACCTATAATGCATGTCAGTGTCAATATTGAAGAAAAGAGGGGGAATTTCTACATTAAACCAACCAAGGCAGTCAAAACTGGTCTTTGTTTCAGAGGTACAGCGTGACTAACGACGACGAAACTCCCCGTCAAGATACCAGCACTTCCTAGCCCCGCGATGGCCCGACCAACTATTAGAACTACTGAGCTGGTCGAGACGGCAGATATCAGATTCCCCAGCTCAAATATAAACAGCGCGAGTAAATATGACCACTTGATTCCAAAAAGCATATATATCCTACCGTAGAGTGGTTGAAATGCTGATGCGGTCAAAAGATATGAAGACCCATACCATCCGACGTCCGCTGTTGAGTCAAACTCATTAGTGATGAGAGGGATTGCCTGAGGTAATACTTATTAGCTACAGAATATTCCTATTCGGACACAGCTTTTACATACGGTGGTAATGATTGTCCGATCAAGTGAGATCAGAAACACACTCAGTGCAATCCCAAAAATCAAATAAATTAACCCAAATGTACCAGGGTATTCGGGCTCAATTTCTGCGCCGCCACGCTGCCTTGTCGCATTTGCCGAATCATTGCCTTCGAGCCCAACTGCCTCCGGAATCTCAGCAGCGAGTAGATTAGTGTTACCCTTATGTTCTTCGGCTCCTCCTGTCACAATTGTTCTAGTACCTAGTCTTGACTCAGAACTTGTGCCAGCGCTCTCTCCCCAGTCACTCTTTGCTGTCCAGCTGTTCCGCGGATTTATAGGTACGGAGGAAGCTCTGGGTGAATGTATGGGTTCCCAAGCTTTTGTATTTCGTGTCAATTGGAAGCCTGGCTTTTCCGCCCTCTGGCTCTCGAAGTTTGTGGCCAAGGGTATGAATGCTCTCGGCCCACGATTGGAACGTAAGTCTGAGCCATGCGATTTTGATGATTTTTGCGTTTGGTTCGATTTGACAGAGCCTAGAGATGAATGAGATGCCAAGTGTCGAAGAGGTGGATTGGCAGCTTCAATTGTATCTCGAATTAAGTTTTGAACCACATTATTGTGAGCGATAGGGGTTTCTCTGGCTGGCAGTTGTGTGGGGATTGGCTTCTGTTCTGCGTCTGGCCGATTGCGTTCGACTGAGTGAGATGTACCCCGTGAATAATCCATGGTAGCTATGAGCTATGTAGAGTATTATGAGTGCATTCGAAACAGAATCTCTACTGTCAAGACACAAATAAGTCACAATAAAATGACCTCGCAATACATACCACGTACAGCACCGCGAGCTTATTGGCAGTGAGTCCTTGTCACAGTCCCTCAATTCGAAAACAATCCTGGAGAAAATGAGCAAGGGCTGGCTTAGTAATTACCGTTCTTCATTAACGTTCTTCCGTCGCAAGATACAAGCCATCGAATCGTATGTTCATAAATTAGACCCATAACGACGTCAAGAGGCTAGTCCACTCAGTTGAAGAACAAACCGTAGGGTGACTTCAGATGTGGGCTGCATAACCGGCTGGATTGGCAGCATTTCCTTTTTGGGATGAAGTTCTCTGCTTTCCGCCTAGCATTTCCAGATGTGGTAGAAGGCAAGGATATGCAAGGCATCATCATGCAATCTCCACCACTTGGCGCCGATGATTCAGGAATCAGGAAAAGAAGCGGAAGTCAGTGACTAGTCGTGCTGGTGTCGAGCGGAGGGATGAATTGAGCACAAAAGTCTGTTGCAGCTAAGCATGGAAGCCACTTCAGCCCCGGCCATAGTAGTCAATCGAGCTTGGGCTTGGACACTAATAATGGTGGGTCAGCACCTGCAACCAAGAGATCTACGATCTTCGTAAGCGGATGCGGAAACCAGTACCCAGGAATGACCCCTGCCGATGATCTTTCTTCCATGACTGCAAAAGGCTCTTGCCAAGTCATCCAGTTGACAACCCCGCGACGATGAAAAGCTGTGCAAACTCGACCTTCGACCCTACATCTGATCAACAATTGACAAATCGTCAAAAGTTGTCACCGCAAACCCTAGGATATATGCGTGCATTTGATGTTACTTCATTCAAATTTTGCGGTTTTCTCGTTGTTTATCATTCATCATTATAATATCATCTCTCGTTACAGTGAGTTCATCTTTACTACGCAATCCAGCAGTTCTCTGAATCTGGACTCTCTCATGCCCACCGTGGGGCAGATTACCACATTCATCATAAGACTCCTTTGCATGCAGGTAAATGTGCCAATTCCGCAAGCGTGGAAACGACCCCTACTATTCCCGACCCGTCACTGTGTCGACCGAGTGCATCATTCTCCGCTGTAAACTCTTGTTCTAACTCAGTTTGAGCCTTTCCCCCGAGTGCAATTGCAGCTTTCATGCCCCGTAGGCGTTTCTTCTCTATCCATGCCAAAGAAAATCCTTCCTCTTCGCCAGAGCCGATATCGATCCCTGAATCGGAAGAGCCGGTCGAGGTTGGCAACTGAAACTCTTCAACATTATTATCGCCCGATGCACTTTCAGCAGGTAGAAGACCAGACTCCCGAAGCATTATCATAGGAGATACTGTTCGCCGTCCTGATTTGAACACACATTTGCTGAGAGCTGTAGCAACAACTGCTTTGTTTCCGTCTAAGATCTTGAGCCAAGAGGTGTCATCCCCTTCGGTTTCACGTTGCTTTGCCTCATTTTGCTCCGGATACAGTGTGTACTTGCGCGGTAGAACGACATCTTTCCGTACAAAGTGCGTGACTATGTATATCCATTTCTCATCCCATGACAGAACCCTTGACCACATTTCATATGTCTCGTATGGCTTCAATTCTCTCTTGAACGAACAGCTCACAGCACCTAGTGCCAGACCGAACAGCGGATACTTTGATCCAGTGATAGCGGTGGTTCCCCCTCGAAAGTGTGAAATACCCTTGGCGAAGAGCGTACATACAAGATGGGTTCGTGCGATGTCGATATCGGAAAAGTATGATGAATTTGACTCTGATTTGAATTAGATATTTAGCATTGATCATAGAGAAACAGACTCACTGTGGCCGTTAAAGTCAATTTCCATTATTGGAGCATGCGATGTTGTAATGAGCGGGAGGAAGAGCTGTTCAGGTCCGACGGGGGTCTCTGGTCTCTGAGTTTTACAGATAAAGCGAAAGGCGTTGACAATCCGCAACTAATTGAAGTCTTAGCAGAATGAAGGGCAAGAGGTAAAGCAAAGGCACTTACATGCCATATCAAAGGTAAGCTTTTCAAGTTTGTCACGATGAGAATAACGACCAGCACCCTCGAAATTGTGAAAAAAGACCATAATAGACGCAACAGTTGTAATGCAGCGCCTACTTCAATCATTCGATATTGGGAGCCGACTGAAACTTCTGGGATCTTGTAAGGGACTGTGACGTTATAGTTCAACATCGTTGACAATTTACTGTGAGCAGAAAAAGCGCAAGTTAGGATAATTATCAAGCTCATGAACAAGACAGGAGACAAAGTCAGCAAACTAGAGCCAAAGTCTTTGACAACAGTCACTCGTGCTAGACACATGTCGGGGAGCGATTTACCGTACGAATCAGCGGGTTTCACAGCTGTTGTCAATCACAACGGAACGGAAGTCCTTTCTTTCTAGGAAGGGGAGAACAGTGCTGAAAGTGTGTCGATCATCTGTAGAAGCCTAGCAGGGATTGAGCTAACTGACATCGAATAGATCTGATCGTTCTCCACTTTGAAAAGGCATGTTTGTGGACAGACTTCTCGCTCTTTTGCCCTCGAAAGATTATCCATCTCCACGGCCAAAAGTACGTCCCAAGAAACTGAGAAACGTCTGAATTTGGATTCAATGAGCTCATGCTACTTTAATCGCGAAAGACTATTCTTCAACAGGTCTCAGATAATCGGAACTAAGACTATCGGATGTTTACTCGAGCATACTGCTCCGCTAAACCAGCAACTCTACGAGGTATACCAGCGACAAGTTCAATGGCAAGCATATCACCAAGCCCAAGCTGAAGCTTCCTATAATCCCCAAACGCCACCACAGGTACCTCGTCACCACCAATACGCTGACTGGCAGCAACAAAACGGCATTCTGGATTCTCCAACTCCTGCATCCAAAGTACATAACCATAATCCCACGCCACCGTATGCAGAGGCTTCATACCACGTCCTCGACGCCGGATCCACGCCCAAGATTCATCGAGAAATATCCTACCCCTCTGCAGACCCAAAACTACTAACCAGAGAACCCTACACAACCACAACGCATCCAGCGAACTCCCTCTCCACAGCCAACTCCCTAGTCACCGCACCTAGCACTCCCCCGCCGACCCACCTCCCCTCCCTCTTCTCCCACCCCGACGACCAAGCACCGACACCCTCCAGCGTCTCCACCGTCCGGCCCAAGAAACACAACATCAAGCAATACGCGCGCCACATCAACGAGTCGCTGACACGCGAGAAAATCGCTATCGCGCGCGCGGAGAAAACGGATGAGCGGTTGAATGGTGATTTGGGCGATATTCTGGAGGAGGTGGAGATGTTGCGGGGACTGAAGGATCGGTTGTGTGGGATGTTGGGGGAGATTGGGGAGGGGTTGAGGGAAGGACGGATTGAGCGGTGATGATTTGGAGGATGGATTGATGTGTGGTGAGATAAGGGGTTGGCGATTTATTTGAGTGGATTTTTGTTTGTGATTTAGGTGTGGTATTGTCAGAATGTTGGATTCGATTTTCTTACGACTGGGAGGTCTGCTTTCGGTCTTGTTTGGCGCTTTTTGATACGGCTTGGCTGGTTGAGGTTATGCTTCTGGAGTTGTTGGATGGTCGGATACACTTGACGAATTATGACCTAACTATGATTGTTGTTAGCTGTAAGATAGGATAATTTGACTTGATGATAGCACAATATCTGGAGTTTTGTGTTGTGAAAAATACGGCGAAAAGCCTGAGATTTCGAGCTCTGTCTTTTATTCAGATTCCAAAAACCCCTATATTAAATCGTATAGTAGTGTCATCATGCTTATCATGCCCAATTGCTATACAGTGTATACAGATCCCTCTTCGCCGCCAATGAGAGGAGCAGTGCTAAGTCCGAACATCCAACGCCTCCTTTTCCCACCATAATCGTACAATATACAGGGGACATCCGTCCTTCGTGTTAAGTATTATCTAACTGTTCTTTACAACGCCAACCTTGGCCGCTCGCAATATCCGTCCGTTAAGTTTGAATCCCTTTGATTGTGTGTGGAAGACGGTGTTGTCCTCCTTTCCTGCCATTGGTGTCATAAATGTTGCCTCATGCTCGTTTGGATTGAACTTTTCGCCCTCGACGCTGGGATCGAATCGCTCCAGACCGTGCTTCTTCAGTGTTGACATCAAGATATTTTCAGTCATCTTCAGGCCGTCATATAACGACACCAAGTCCTGGAGGTGCTCTGATTTCTCCTCCGCTTTGAGCTTCTCTTCTGGAACCATTGTCAAAGCTCGGTCGAGGTTATCCACGCTGTCGACGAGATCTTTGGCAAACTTCTGGATGGCGAAGTCTTTCGCGCTTTGCATATCACGTTTCGTTCTTTCTTGAAGGTTGCGGAAATCTGCTACCGACCGGAGAAGTTTATCCTGAGAATGAAATGTCAGCCTCGCTTTACATTATGAAGGGAGAGAATAGTGGCGACCAACCTTTAAGTCAATAACCTCCTTGTTCTTTGCCTCCAACTCTTTCTTGACCGGGTCCTCAGCCTCTGTGGGTTTTGTTTCTGTCTTCCCAGCTTCTCCCTCCGCCTGCTTTGCCTCTGGTTCTGTTGCGTACCATCTCGATGCGACAGGCCTGGAGAAAGCCGCGAGATTCTGGCTGGCAGCTTGGAATTGAGGTCGCGCAAGTGATGCTTTAGGCGTTGACCTTATAGATGAGCTCAATGCTCGAGATTGACGGAGGAGTGTTCTTTGAATCATGATTGTTCTTGTTTGATATGCGCGTGTGATGAGTTCGGAGTCTCTTCTAGAATAAAATTTCGGACTGACGAGGTTGAGACCACATTTGGCCCGTGCACGCAATACCTGGACGGCTGTTCTTTTGATAGCGGGACGTCCTTCCCCTATTTCAACCTCACCTCTTGAAAACCCGTGGACCTCATTAAGATCGAGAATTATGTATTGATACGATTCGGCCAAATCGAAAAGTATCTCGTTAGAAACTTGGATGGTATGATTTCTCGTTTCGCGAGGCCTATACGGCGATGCCCAAATCATCTGCGTACCAGCATGGATTATCGAGAAAGGTGCAATCAACATGGAGACTCCTTTGGCAGGATAATGACCGGTAATTGTTGCCAAATTTACAAATTCAGATTCCCGAAAAGTCTTTCAAGGCAGGTACAGCTGAAGGTAGGCTTAAATTGCTTTCTCAACTCAGAAGTTACGTCATGTTTGTGCAGAGTGATTGGCAACGTGACAACTCGAGGATTGACAAACTTTCAACTGACTCTTGTAAGCGTACATCTTTGAAGAACCAGGTCGAGGTGTCGATTTACTTAAAACACGATAAGAAGGGACCGTAAGATATTTGAGGGTTCAGAAGCAGTGAGCAAGACGCTAAATTATAAAAGGCAAACAGCTAATTTGACATAGAAAGGAAAGCTTTCACTTAGCAAGTAAAATTTGCTTGATATTCACTCCTCCTTGCCCAAAGTATCAGGCATAATCTGGAGGAGGATAGAGCTTATACTGGCCAGCACCAGTTCAAAAATCCTTCTATGTCTTTTGAAAGTGAATTCGCCTTTGATTGAATACTCCGCCACATTAACTAAAAACTACTAGCAGTCGCAAAACTTGTTCAGATCGAATCAAATCACGGATAAATCGTGGGTGTCGCCAAAATATTCGTGAGTCGGCTGTCATATGATTCATCCACAGATTTCAATGTCTTCGATTCCACAATAAGCAAGACCTCGACTGGAGAGCTCCCTTTTGTTCCACTTGTCACGAAAGGCTTACTGCTCTTTTCCGCACTCACGCACAACCCCGTGGAGATATGATATCTCACAATACTGTATCAAATGCCAGTACCATGACCTCGGGAGCTCCGCCAAAGATGGAGAAAGTTGTCGAAGGTAGTGTCCGTCTCATGTTTATTGTGCCATGTGCTTACGCTATTAGAACCCAACTCTCCTACACCCTTCCCACCTTTCAATCAACCAACCTCCGCTTTGTCGCCTCCATTGCAGCCGGATTTTACTGGGAATTTGGTCAAGGAAAACCGGACAAGGACAATATATATCCAAACCAAAGATCTCGACCCTGCTGGAGAAGTGACAGCTTTGAGAAAATCGATCACCATCACTCAAGATCCCAATCAGTGCGGAGACAATGATGCTTCTGATAGTCCATTTCTTACACCCATTACGCCAAGCGAATCCGGAAGAGTAAGTACTATGGGCCCTATGAATACCGATCAAGCAGATACTTACGTGTAGCTTCTCCAGTTTGCGACGGCACACTACAAATCTCTATCCTCGGCCGAACTATCTGCACAAGCTATGGGGGCCGATGAATTTGTCAAGGTAGCAGAGCGTTTGAAAACGGAAGAACCACCGATGACACTGGAACAAGTCCGCCAGCGCAGAGCAAGTATCAAAGAAGATCGCAAAAAATCGATCGAGTTTATACGAAGCCGAACCAATTCTCGTGCTGCTGCCATGGGTCATCCAAATATCGATGGGGAAGTGTTTCGAAGTAGGGCAAATTCTCGAGCTACAGTGTCGGGTAGACCACCTTTGGGAGAGAGAAATGATTCCTACCGCAGTGATAGAAACGACTAGATATTGCGTTTTCTCAGTTATGTGTTTTGGGCGTGTCTTTGGAAGGCGTCAAATGGAGGTCTCAATTGGAAGAGTATTTCATATGTTGTCAAATTTTGGTGCTGCAAACTGAATAAAATGACCAAACAATACAAGCAAATTTGCAGTTAGCCATGGTTGCCAGGAAAGGTACGTTTTCGGCCGGTAGGTCTTTAAAGATCCTATTCATAGTCCACAGCAATTCGCAAAATTTTGTCAATCTGTTGATTCATGTTATATCAGTAAATAAACCTGTGGTAGCGTTTAAGCTGCTTAGCTGACTGATTCACGCCGCTATATGCAGTGGAGCTAGGTAATTCGCAAAGGAATTGTCGCTACAAAGTTATATGAAACTCCGACCATTTTGAAGATTGCGTCTAATCTACACAAATTTGATATTTGGTTTTGAATTAACTGATCCATGGTGTTTCTCACGTGCTATTAAGCCATCCCTGCCTGCAACTGAGGTTACACAGAGTCGCAGACGCCGAAAATTTGTACTCGTCGGCGGTGAGCATCTATCCCTTTCTCCATCCCCACCAGATCTCAAATGACGTGTCTCCATATGCCACTACGCTTGTTCTTTCTATCATTAGATATTTGAACACATTCCCTTAATAAATTTCAAATATATATCTGTACGATGCAGACCAATTTCTCAGTCAAACCCGGCTCAACAGCCCATGAGCTACCCATCCTGCCTGCAGAAATACAACATTTGATCTGGACTTTCATGTGCTCAACGAAGCGTTTCGTCAATTTGCGCTACATTCCTTTTAACGATTGGCAAGCAAAAGATATACCTCAGGAAATGCGACATCATTACAGATGCATTCAATCCGACTGCCCGGTACCTGTTGTCCTGCAAATATGCAAAGCATCTCGGCATGAAGGTCTGAAACACTACAAACTCCACATGGGAGACTTGTCAAAGTACGACTCCATGTATATGAATCTTCGATTTGATATCATCATTGCTCGGGGCTCCAAAGAAATGCGATTCAATCTCTACACAGCTCTCGCAGATTCACAGTTTGAAAACATCGCCATCGTTTATCCAGGCCACATGTTTTCCGGAAAGCAAAATATCGACAAGATGTTCAACTCATTGAAGCGAATCGTTGTACTAGGAGAGGCGGATTCGAAAATCACTAGGATTCCTGGCGTCGATCTCGAAGGTCTGTTGGCAAACAAGTCTGTAGTCTCGACGGAGCAACTGACTTATGACAAAGTTCGTTGGCTGGTTTCAACGTATAAGAAGTTTGAGCTTCTGAGACAGGCGATGGATATAGACGGAGATATTGTATCGTATGAGAGAGGTACGCGAGTACTTCATCTTGAGTTCAAACAGAAAACTTGATATGGAGTCTGATCGGGTTCATTGAATCGAGGTGGAGCTTCAACTTGCTTCCAGTCCGAAAAGCAAAGTCCGGAATCAAGTGGTGGGTGAATGAACAAAGCTTTCGCATAACTTGCATGAACTCAGCCAGGATGAGAGTCGGTCAGCTTGAGTTAAAAGAATCTGTCGTTGAAATATCAAATGTCATGAGACACCTTGTTTGAAATCTGAAGAGTGCATAGTTCTGAGTTTCTGTATTTAAGCATTAACATTGAAGTAAGGTTTTGATACATAAAACATAAGACAACACCCAATTCAAAGATTGTGAGGGGTGTGAAGGCAAATATCGACAGGTACTTATCATTGAAAAGCAAGGGTTTTTGATAGAGCAAAAATTACATTACAGCACCACAAGCATATCGAAATGGCTATATCACAAGTAGATAAAGAATCAATAGGTGACTGTTTCAAAGGAGGCTAAGCAAGAATGAAAATTGTATGGTCCGAACTTATGAGGATATTCTCGGGAGGAAGGCTCTTTTCGCACTTATCACGTGACCGACCTCGTCACCCTTATTTCCAACGACAGGTTGTGCGACCTATCAACCAACAACATAGAAACTTTGATCAACGCCCAAATCAATCACACAACTCATGAATTTGAGCTCAGCACTTCGGAAATCAGAATCAGCACGTCGAAAGAGGGTGATTACTTGACACCTAAAAGCCTCAAGTCAACGACTCAACGACTCAGTGACCTCTGACTCTCACAACACACGGCCTCATCTCCACAGCACCCTCACTTAGTCCAACAACTAAATCACACTTAAAATCAACCTCACAATCTCAACTCTCACTCATCCATCCCCCCTCTACCCCCTCTCGTCCCCCCTCTTCCCCTCCCAAGTTCCCACAAAAATGTCCGCCTCAAATTCCACCCCAACATACAGCCTCTCCTCGCACTCCAACCGCTCCTTCCGCACCCTGAAACCGCCGCCGCCCCTCACGAAAGGACAGCAAGACAGACAGGCGAGAAATAAAGACCCGTTTGCGAGTGATGATGAGTCGGATGATTCGGAGGGGGGGTGGGGGGGACGGTGGGATGCGTGAGTTGAATTTTCTTCTTTTTTGGGGGTTTATGTGGTTTGGGGGTGAGGAGAGGATGAGGGCTAATGTTGAGTTAGGTATGGAAACGACACCTACGCAAACACACAACTCCGTCGAGACGCGGCTATTAAGTTAGATAATCCGGAGTTGGTGATGATGTTGGCACAATCTAGAAACGATGTAACTAGTCCCTCTCCCTCCTCTCTCAATCTGACATGCCCCCCAGTCCATCCCAGCAACACGCAACTACCTCACACGCATAATGTGCGGGTTCCTCACCGCTGCCGACATCGAAGCAGAAGAAGTGGCTGAGAAGGAAGCGGCTGAGGCGAAGAATCGGGGGGAAGGGGGGAGTGGGAGTGGGAGTAAGGGGTTGGGGACAGCGAGTGGTAGTGGTGGGGGTGGGAGTGGGAAGAAGAAGAGGGTTAGTAGGGGGGTGGATGAGTAGGGTGGAGAGGATGAAATTCATGATTAATGAGGCTTGTGAGATTTTAGGAACCTTGGGATTCGATGAGTAATGAAAATTCATGTTCTGGTATTAACAAATGAGATCTGAATTTCACAAGCGCATATGAACAAGAACTTACCACACAGTTATAATAACCGTTCGTGATCCACACATCTACATAGTCTCGTACTAGAGCGGAAAGATGATGAACTGACGATTAATGAGACTTCGCATTGTGGTATCTACACATGAGATCCGAATTTTACAAATGCACATGAATACATAAATTGATATATGAGTGGCAAATGTTATTGTTGTTCACAGTTCCACAGGGAAGGACCGATACAAACGATACCACAATCTCAATAGTCTACACAATGAAGGCTGTTATAGGTGTGGCAGACGTCCAGTATTTACGCTTCCACATGGTTAAAGAGTTGGGAAGGGATATAGTGAAAGATTAATAAGATTGATGTTTACCGAGGTTTGCGATACGGTGTTTATCCTAGAGCAGAATTTCACAAGTTTACATGAGACATAATCTGAGATAGGTGTGGTAAATGTTCATTATTCACACATCCACACGAGCCTCTGTACAGGACTCCCGTTCCATCTATCCCACCCCTATCCTATCTACGTCCCTTTCTTCCCTTAGGACTTAATTCCTCCTCCTATGCCTTTTATGCACTCCACCATCCCCTCAATACACTATCCAACACCCCTCATTCATTCTCAAAATGCCCAAACCAAAACACCAACCCGAATACAATATATATCTATGTACCTTACCCAAACGCCTGCCATCCCAAACAATTTTAATCCAATCACGCATACCGAACAGTAGGTTGTTGCCATGTAGGAGGCGGCGCAGGTTGCCATCTCCCATCGCTCCCCCAGTAGCCCTGCGCGGCATCGCCGCTTGGTATCCTACGTCCATTGCTGTTTTGATTCCAGCCCGACCCGCTGTTCCAGCCTGGTGGTGGAAGGGGTGCTTGTTTGCTTGGTCGTGTTCGCTTTCTTCGACAGCGGGATATGCAACATGATAGGATGGCGATGACGATGAGTCCACCGATGACTGATGCTAATGCTATGACCAGAGTTTTGTTATCGTCGATCCAACTGGTGATTTCTTTTCCTACACTCGACCCTCTACAGTCTCCATTCGAACACCTTCCTCCTCCCTGACAGGATGTTCCGTCGAGGAAATTCTGTTGCATCGAGTAGCAAGTATTACGTCCAAATTCGGGCGAAGCACATGATATCTGGCATCCTGAAGACGAGCATGCGTAGGTGTCGTTTCCTTGCGTATAAGAACCCATCAAGGTCTTGCATTGGAGATCACGAGAGGTGCACTGTCCAGAGGCACACTGTAAACCAGAAGAATTACCACATGATGTTCCTAGAATTCGTTAGTACAATATTCTTCACAACGGATTCTATAACTTACCATCAGGAGCGTTGACATCAATTGGGCAGGCAGCATTAGTTCCACTGCAAGTCTCCTGTGGATCACAGGTTCCTGTACTTGCTCGACAGACAGTACCTGACCCGGAGAATTGGCAGGTGGGTGTACAGCAATCTTCGTTACTAGGATCACAGACGGCGTTGTTGGCGGTGTTGAAGCGGCAGGTGGTTGGATCACAGCATGTATTGCCAGTACAACCACTCTCACCACCACAATCACAGTCTTCTCCAGCTTCGACAATCCCATTACCACACTGACTTCGGGTGATAGTGGTAATACCCTTATTAGACACCAGACAGTTTGTTTTGACACTATTTCGCAACATGGCGGAGCACACATTTCCAATCGAACATGGAGAGAACCTAGCGATATTAGACCCAGTGCTGGGGTTCATGATGAATTGTCCTCCGGCGGGACAGACTTGAGCATTCAAAGGACAGCACTGTTGCGAAGCCACCATTGAGGCATCAGCACAGGTCTCTGACGTGCAATCGTGTACGGCACCGAAAGTGTGACCAGTCTCGTGTGCAACGACTTGCCATTCGCTGCCCGTCCTGACGACCACATTTGCACCGCTCACGGTTTCGTTAGCGTTACTTGAGGAAGCAACTTGAGCAGTGTTAACACATGCTTGACCCAACCAAGCCAACCCGACAGCCGATCCGGTTGCGCAGGTACTAAGTAGTGTCCAGTAAGCATTTGTATCCGGTCGTTCGCCTCTCCAGGCAGAAAATAGATTCAAGCGATCTTGAATAGTGACAGAGTCACTGCATCCCACATTCCATGGAGCAGCGGCTTGTGCGGTAGCAGGGCACGCAGCATCACTAATGGTGAGATTTTGAAGTCCTAGCGTAATGTTGAAACTATCCTCATATTGAGTCGAAGCCATATTGATGACACTGATGATATTGTTTCGGACGCTTTCCGTAGAATTGAACCCAGCGGTATACGTGCAGTCGGTAGCAATACCGACCAAGGCGACCTTGCGAGTGGTTGGGCATCCTTGAGTTTGTCCAACAGTTGAGGCCAAGTTGACACCAGCAGAGTTTCCCCCCAACTGTCCATCGATTTGTCTGCCGAAGAGCGATCGAGTTGAAATAGATCCCCAGAATTTGTCCTCCCGCTTCAACATCGCTCGGTAGACAGGATGGTCAGGCTGTGTATTAAAGGTCAGACCATCGGCAGAGCATGAAGGCGCTTCGCCAACACTTCTTTTCAGCTCGCCATGTAACATGCCCCCGAGATCCTCAGCCAAACCCTCCGTAACATCAGAGTCCCTCCAAACGAGCATATACTCCTTGCCAGTATCTTCGGGAACAGGATCCAGTAAATGCTTTGTCTGCATGTAATTCGTCCTCGTCTGGATATGGTGATGATCTCCATCAAGTCTGAAAGCGCCCTCAAACATCGGTTCCGCTCCATCAGAATGAACCACGATCCTCGCCCATCCAACATTCGTCCACTCCGCGCCCACAGAATGCTGCACCATCGCCGCCCCTTTGAATATCCGATAATCCTCCCTCTCTAACGGTTCCGAATGCCTTAACGTCCCGTCCGCCGCCATATACGACACGGTCGCTCCATCGCCCAAGATATCGTGGTTCGGCGTCAAGACCAACTTGACATGCTGCTGCTTCTCATGCAGATCAAACGACAATGTGAACTGCGACGCCGCGTGCGCTCGATTCGACGGCGTATGTATCCTCGCATTTTCCAGCGACGAGAAGTATGATATGGGATTTCTTTGTTGTGAGTGTGCTGGACATTAATGTCAGCTCTGAAACACCAGGTGAGAGTCTCCAATCTTGAGAACATACCATTTACAGTAGAAACGAAGAATGCGCTGACGACTCCCGCCGCAATATTCCTCAAAAGTCTCATAGTCTGGTTGGTGTATGTATTAACAGGACTCTCCTTTCCCCGATTCCTCCTTTCAGCTCCCAGTGCGCCTTCTCAACACCCCAGCCTCCTTTCAGCGAAAGACGCTCGTCGTGCAGCTCAGCGATCGTAGATGCAAGCGAATGAATCGTCCTATATTATATGCAATGAGTAGTAATTATCTGCAGTCGGCCAGCGAGGGAGGAAATGAGTGTCGGTCGTCGTGAAGGAATTATGGGAGTTGGGATGAGGGTTCGTAAAAGGCTGTTGGTGATGTTCAAGCGCAGTGGTCGGAGTGATCCGCGCCGGACGGAGTGCGACGTTGATTATTCGGTCAGGGCTGAAAGCAGTCTTCTGAAACGGCAATGCTGCGAACGTCTGAAAGGCTTGGAGCTTGGGTCAGACGGTCTGGACGATACAAGTCGCAGCGAGATAAATATAAATATAAATGTCTGACTTTTGAGAGAGTCAAGATGGTGTTTGTAGGAGGGCGGCTAACGGGGTAAGAATTGACGGATGACGCTTGTTATTAATTGGACTTCGACTCGACTCGAGGACGGACTCGAAGGCACTCAGGAGGCTAGAGGTACGAAATACTTGACGTTCATTATTTGCTTTGCCACAAAGGCCATGGCAACCTACTTGATTCGGCCGAAAGTTCACTGCCAAAAACTCCAAATCCACACAAAGTACTTAACTCCGACTGACCGTCAGGCTGCCCAGCAACGAAGTGCGCGTTCTGGATCAACTGTCACTCGGCTTCGGGCGTCGGTACGAGTTCTTTGTCTGGCTGTCACGGCTGTCCAACAGCTTCATCGGCATCAGTTTCCCAAGCCTCTTTCACCTTCACGTAGTGGCTGAGCATGATCATGATCACGACACACCCATTCAATCCTCAAAGACAAATTCCCCGCATCATCCGAAGTCCGGCATTCAACATCTCGTGTTTCGTCCCAGCGCCCGTATCAAAGCTCCATGCCCTCAAGTTTCAAAATCTAGACACCGACCAATCGTAGACTTGCTGACAGGACTGAGAAACGGAGCGCACGAGCTGCAAACATGGGATTTTGTTTGAAGGGAAGGCGAGACGGAGAATAGAATGTTTCTTCTACAGCCACTTTTGTTTCTCTTCAAGCCGAGATCTTTATTCTTCTTCAATGAATATTTACACAACAACTTCATAGTATTTGCTTATGCTGCCAGAATCGGACATAACCACCAACAACCATCCCATCTCGGCCAAGATCACCAAACATCCGTCTTGGCACACCAACCAACCCTCCCCTCCTCCCGAACTCCCCGATCATCTTTCAACATCTCAAATGCCACGATTGCGTATTTCCTGAGGCTATGCATGCATGTGCACACTGTATTCTTGCTCTTGGCGGTGGAATCATGACCTACCAAATGGGATGAACTACCAGTGTTTGTGAGTGACTGCATTTGAGGTATTTAGTGCGGAGAGGAGTGGGTTGCGTGGTGGTTGTCTTGGCTGCTTGAGAGAGTTTGGAGGGGGATGGGCGGCGTAGGTGGCGTTGAGGGGTTGAAGTTGAGGATTTTTGAGAATTCGGTGGTGAGATGAAAGATGACATGAGATGAGAGACGAGGCTTTGGGGGGTGTAATCTACTTAGCATGTTAAGGTTACAGACGACCGCGGTTTGAGTTTATGGTTATTTACAGTACACCAAGGTTACAGTTATTGCTGACGTTAAACATGCTCATGAATTCCAGGATAATAATATCGATATTGTGAAATACGATTCACCTTCTTGGCTACATGACCTACCATCCAGACTTGCAGTAGCTCGATCCCCAAGACCTACAGATGACGAAGGGCAAGCCCGCCAAATAAACACAAGACAAAAACCCATACTAAGACTCCATTCCAGAATAATCGTCCCAAATAATGATCCCGTTTTTGCAACGGGCTAGGTCCAAGTAAACCGCTTAGAAATATTTACGCACATCACTTTCTCGACGCCTGAACGGTCTCGATGATTTTATCGACGACGCTAGGATCGGAGAGCTAGGTGTTGTTAGTAGTCTGCCTGGAACACGGATACGAGAGAATGGTGCTTACAGTGGATGTATCACCAAGTTGATCTTCTTCCTTTGCAAGAATCTTTCTGAGAATTCGTCTCATGATCTTACCACTTCTGGTCTTTGGCAGATCTGGCACGACGAAGATGGCTTTTGGTGCCGCGAATGGACCGATGCTCTTTCTTACTTGAAGAACGAGATCCTTCTTCAGTGCATCGTTGACTTCATTTCCATCCTTGATAGCGACGAAAGCGTTGACTGCTTGTCCGGTAAGCTCGTCGGTGATACCGACAACAGCAGCTTCAGCAACTGCCGGGTGCTCGATCAATGCAGCTTCGATTTCGGCGGTGGACAATCGATGTCCACTGACGTTGACAACATCGTCGACACGGCCTCGAATCCAGTAATAACCCTCGTGGTCACGACCAGCTCCATCTCCCGTGAACTGCGAGAACGTATGAGTTGAGGGTCCTATATTGAAGGTTCGAGAAATGACTTACGTAGTATCCCTTGTACACATTCAGATATGTGTCCATATATCTCTTGTGTGCGCCCCAGACTGTTCGAGCCATACTTGGCCATGGCTGCTTGAAAGCAAGCACACCTTCGACATCGTTACCGTGGATCTCCTCGCCGGAGACTGGGTCGATAATCGCTGGTTCGATGCCGAAGAATGGAAGGGAAGCACTTCCTGGTTTGGTTGGTGTGACACCTGCCAGTGGAGTGATGACATGAGAACCTGTCTCGGTTTGCCAGTATGTCTGCCGTATATTAGTATAATCACAACAAATCGACACCTGTTTCCTTACATCAACAACGTGTGCCTCTTCCTTTCCAACAATTTCGAAGTACCATTTCCACACCTCGGCAGCAATTGGTTCACCGACTGAACCGAGAACTCTGAGGTGCTTCATTTGGTGCTTAATGTGCTCATTTCCAGCTCGCTTCAGCAATCTCAATGCTGTTGGCGCAACGTAGAACTGAGTGACTCCATGTTTCTCGATAACATCCCAGTATCTCGAGAAGTTTGGATATGCCGGAGTACCTTCGAACACTACTGTCGCAACACCAAGAAGTAGAGGAGCGTAGACAACATATGTGTGACCAGTAATCCATCCAACATCACCACCACAGAAGAATTTGTCGGTATCATGAATATCGAATACGTATTTTCCTGTCGCAGCAGCTCCAAGCAAGTAACCCGCAGTTGAGTGCATAACCCCCTTTGGCTTTCCTGTTGAGCCAGATGTGTAGAGGAGGAACAGTGGGTCTTCAGAGTTCATCGGCTCAGGCGCAATGTACGCAGGCCATTTATCAACCTCATCATGCCACCACCAATCTCGACCCTCAGTCCATGGGACTTCCGCACCGGTTCGCTTGTAGACAAGACAGTGAGTGACATCTGGACATTGCTTCAGGGCATCGTCGACGATTTTTTTGGTGCCAATGAGTTTTCCACCTCGCTTACCCTCGTCAGTGGTAATGACAACCTTGGACTGGGCATCAATGACACGATCACGGAGAGAGTCTGCAGAAAATCCAGCAAAGACCACGGAATGAACGGCACCAATACGCGCGCATGCAAGGAATGCAATTACGGCTTCTGGAATCATGGGCAAGTAGATGGCTACGGTATCTCCCTTCTTGACACCCATCTGCTTGAGTACATATGCAGTTTTGCAGACCTGTCGGAGTAGCTCAGAATATGAAAGCGTTCTTCCATCGCTGGTCTCGTCAGCTTCGTAAATGATGGCTGTCTTGTCGGGATTCTTAATAGCATGTCGGTCTACACAATTGTATGAGGCATTGAGTTGACCTTCCAAAAACCAGGAATTGTCGCCATTTTCAAAGGAACCAGCATGAACCGTCTTGAAGTCGGTTTGCCAGCTCAGTAAATCGTGTGCCATGTTGCCCCAGAACTTTTCTGGTTCAGTAATGGACTCCTTGTACATCTTTTGGTATTCCTCCAAATCTGTAGATGTAAGTAATTGTTCATAATCGCAAGCTCACTTTTACATACCTTTGATGTGAGGTTTGCTGGGATGCTCTGAAAATTAAATAGGTTAACAATTGTTTCTTAGACATCAAATACCCGTAACCCCTCTAGTTTATTGACTTACTGGCAAACATCTTCTCAGGAGGGTCTAGAGGCACGTCAGCGCAAACTCGCAAGCTTCGAAGCATCTCCAGACTCACGGAATGTGTCCACCTGGTGAGCTTCTGCCACCACTGGGCCGCTGCTCGGCTTGACGTCTCCTTCAGACATGATTGCGGTCGAATTGCTTCCTCGAATACGTGGTAATAATGATGTTTTTAGAAGAAGTGGGGGATATAATCTGTAGCTCTGGCTCTGCGTCTGCGATCGAAATTGAAGTATGCGCCGACACTTATATCGCTCGATGTGACACCAGGTAGCTTCGACTCATATGTTTCGCTCGGTTATGAGAGGGTTCGCGGTGCTGTGAATGTCAATGTCGCAACTGTTGTGAGCAATTGGAGAGGAATGGGAGGATGAGGATGGTTTTGTGGTCTGTCTCAGAGCAGCTTCCCAGGACACCTTTCTCTCCGGGGCAAGGGACCATCATATGAGCTCGTCAACTGTCGACCGGAGCTCCAAAGCACCAGAGAAATTTACCCCGGCTATTCATCACAGCAGCTCTCGCAGCACCATTATTGGTTGGAGGGGTCGCAACTTGGGGATCGGCTTGAGGTCATCCTCCCGCCCGAGCAGGTCAGCCTCGAGCTTGGGGTGCTCGGCGTTGGTGGGGTTGGTGAAGCGAAGCCCGTTTGGGGAGAGGTTTGGGGTGCTCATGTTGCCCATGGCGTCTGCCAAATTTTCCCCAAGAACTGGTCTCCTCTTCTCTAGACGCCATCTACGTTTCCTGGTTTCTATGGCGAATGGTACGAGTTGTGCGAGATATAATTATTCTGTTCATACGAAGTATTCTGTTCAAAGTATTGCGAATCCCATCTCACAAATCGGCGACATTGCGGTCTCGTGCAGCCAGACAAATTAGGTTATGGTTATGGTCTGGTAGGTATGATCCATGTTGAACTATCTCCACACTATTTCTCCGTCCCCTCCCAGACCCAGAGTACGGGAACTAACACCACCTTCAGCAACAATCTCTCTCAATAAACAACGGCAATTATTCTGTTCTGCCTTGAGTGACAAATAGTCGAAGAGATGATTTACGCTTTCATCTCGACTTTACTTGATCCTCTCTTCTCTACTACGCTTGCAATCTGGCGCGTACCGTCAACCACAACATCCTCTGTACCACCCCCCATGCAGCTCGACACTCTTTGGCGGCGTTCCTGGGCCTGGAAAAGAGGAATTGTGGGCTCCAAGCCATGCCTTCCGGCGGGGTAAATGCACGAGGCTGATGACGGACGGGTCAGTAGCTTCACAACCCCTCGGTTCCTACCGGTTACGGCCAGGAGAATGAAGATTTTAAACTACCAAAATTGCGTTCATAAAGTAGCAACAACTTTTGATATCGAGAACATTCATGCGTCTCGGCTGATTGGGAGCAGTGATTTGCTTCCAAAGTTGATTCATTTGGACTTATTTACGAGGAATTGAGGAGTGATTTCGTGCTACGAACCCAACACCACAAACGGATTGGGGACACGAGCAGGCATAGGTGGGAATTGCTGCGCGTACAGCATCGCGGTTGGCCGCTTCTAGAGACTCTGGTTGGTACATTCGGGCTCTTCAGTTGTTGCTATTGAGCCTTGACGTATCGAATCATATTTCTCCTGTCGACAGAATGCACCTTCCCAGCAATTCGAAAATGACTATGCATATATCCCCATATGCATGCTTGGCCGAAATGCTTACATTCAGCCACGGGTTTTGACATCCTCGTACCAGGAACGTAAAGTAACCCAATTAAACCACCTGGGGCATATTCCGTGGTTGTATTCTGATTGTGTGGCACCGAAATTTTTCAGCACAAGGGATTGTAACAGGTGACATTGGGACGCTCTTCCATCCTAAGTACTCGTAGGTGATATGGAGAATGATTTCGACAGAGTTGAAAGCAAATGTCCATCTTTATTACTTGGCAGAATATTGATTGGAGGTAGCGCGAGAAGTTTGTTCGGGTTCGTTACGTAGTAAGGCTGAAGAAGCTTTCAAATGATTTGTACTTGATGACACAATATAGCCACCGGGCTGTGGCGTCTTAATCAGTTCATTAATGAGTTTTGGAGGTATTTTAGCTGATGGCTATATCTTTCTTAAACAACCGTATGGTCACTGTTACAAGACCTATCCAATCGTCAAGTGACAATGAAACAACGCCTTCATGTCTTTACCCTCTACATATCATTTTGTATCACAACATCAAAGACTCCATGTTTCGAGCCCGTTTGCTGCCTCTGTCAAACGAGCGCTCGGTGCTGGAGCGTTCGATCCAGGAATTACTGCAATAAACTGGTAATTACACAGAAATAATCATTTATTTTGGCATTTTGTTTATGTTTTGCAAATGGCAAGTGAGCATTCTGCTCAAAACTTCAACTTTATCCAATGTCTCTTAAGGAATTGGGAAGAGCCTTGTGCCTTTTCGCCTGTCCCGGCGAAATCTACCACACGGCGTATTACAGCGTCATTTGAATCTGTGAAAGGGTTGGATTAGATACTTGGACGAATGCTCTACTGAAATTGCGTCGCTTAAGTTTCCTGTTCAGGTCTCCAGGTATTTTGGTGTTGAAAAGTGCACAAGTGATAATTCTCATCTATGAGCAATATTCTCATTTGTCTTCTACATGACATGCATACAGCTACACTGCTGAATCCACCAGCTCGGTAACAGCATTTAATTCGGGCCAAGGTGTCGGAAAACGAACTTTGTGTAAGTATCTAGTATCTATGTTAGATGCTCTCCTGAGAACTTGAAGGGCAGAGTAGGAGATCTTATCATTCACTTTTTTTTTCAACTGCGACAGCGACTTCGAGCGTTCTAGGTTGGATTCAAATGGTCATTATTGATATTATTACATAATCGACACGGATTCCTCAGAGATTAGAAGGAATATACAAAGTTCACCAGACCCACTTACAATTATATATGTAAATAAACAAGGGGTTTGCTAAATCTAGATTGCTATTTTGATAAATCTCGATCGTGATGTGATATACCTTACTAACTATATTTAAATTCTATTATATATACGAGAGCTTTAGAACGAGACACGTCTAGGCCGGTAGGCCGGGTCGAGTTCTATTGCGGACCTAGCGCTAAAGATGTGTTTAGCAAGCGCAGCGCCACTAGAATCACTACTCAATATAGTGATCGAGATTTATCAAAATAGCGATCTAGATTTAGTAGATCCCATGAACAACACCGCGAGCGATGGTTAAAGCGTTTGATCTCTACCATCTCCCCGTTTCTACGACGTGGAGCTCAATCCGCCTCGCCTAGGATATCCTTCCAAACAGACCGGTTAGCTTTGTTATATCAAACTGATTAGATCGAGATACGAATAGTACTAACCGAAGGATAAATTTTCCGTCAAACAGTCTTTTTACACGAAAACTCACCAGGAACACATGACACTATTTGGCCACCCAAATTCTTCAGATAAGATTCCTTCCAGAACACAGGACTTCCGATTATACTTCTAACATTCGTATCTTGGCTTCTTTGTTTGTAGTTGTTGTCGCTACGCTATCAAGTGTCTGAAAAAGGGTAAAGTCGAAAATCACGACTTTTACCGAGAAATGGCGTCAAAGATGCAACTTCCTTTGAGGTTATATTAGAAGATAGCTTGTTGAATATTTCAAATCCTCTGGATTGTAACTAGGTGGATGAAAAGAGATATATGATTGCATGCGACAGGAAATGGCTGTTATTGGTATAATTTTGTTGTTCCGGCTCAAATTTACTTTCAAATTCTATAACCATCACTGGAAGAGAATGGTCGTTCCTACAAAGTCTGGGTCTATTTCACTGCTCTTGCGTTGCGTTAAAGGTTCTTCAGTATACCTTTTCAGTTCTACTTGCATCTTCTATGACTCTACGATCGCTCGCCTATTGCTATATTTTCAAGCTTTCGGTCTTTTGAATAGCGATATCTTATCTAGCAGTATTATCTTATCTGCTCTTTCCAACGATTCAACGTGTTTCGTTAATCGCACATGTCAGAAGATTCAGTCTTGGCTGTCTAAAACTTCCTTATCATATCTTAAACAGGCTCTACTTTAGGTGTGGATGATTTATAATATACCGAGCCATAATGATACAGGTCTATTGAGTTATTCAAGCTCTTCATGAATGAATTTATCAATCTATCAACTTCTACTTCCTGTTAACCAAGCACAAGATTTAACTAGTATACTATTCTGCATTCAACATCATGCCTATCTCTATCCCCTTAGTATCACTTTGGCTCGGTTTCGCCGCGACACATCATATTCCACACATAATTGCCGTCGAAAAACGACAAGCTCCCGACGAAGAATGGCATAGAGACTACGACGTTTTCCCGAACACCTACATCGATCCCAAATGCACCGAGCAACAGATAGGGATAATCAAGAGCGCCTGGTACGACTCAAAGCTGCTCGCCGACGCGCAAACCAACCAACAGGGGGGCTACGACTACAACGTACCGCATTCGATGTGGTTAGGCAAAGACTGGGTAAGATGGGATAACAGTCATTCTAACGCCGCAGCAGCAACCAACAGACACACATTCGCTATCTGGCAGAACTTTGAAAACCTGAAGAAGCTGTACGCCGGGACGCCAACATCAGGCGGGAATTTTCAAATCCTTTGGTATTGCGATGATATTTATAATGCTTGTGACGGAAGTACACACGCTTATTACAATAATCAGCAGTTAGCCAGCGAAGACTTGGAGATTCACAGTACGATTTTCTGTGATAGGTTCTTCGCGGCAGAGTCGTTGGGAGTGCAAATGGAGAGACATAAAGATAATCCACGCGAGCGGCTCATTATTGATAACTACGAGACGAGTACAGCGGTGACGATGTTGCACGAGGTCTACCACTACAAACATCTCGTGGCTTATCCGTCGACCAAGGACGATGCGTACCATGCGCAGAAGTGCTATGATCTGGCTCATGATCAGGGCACCCCTGGAGTGTATAGAAACGCAGACTCGTATGCTTTGGACGCTTTGGCTATTTACTTGCAGCGGCATTGGCAGACTGTTATTCCTCCTGCTCCGCAAGAGTGGATTGATGATTATATGCCGGCGAGTGATCCTGATTGGGAGAATATGAAGCGTTTCGAACATGATGGCAGAGATAGCGTTGCTGGCAATTAATAGCGGGCAGGGTGTGCCTGCTGTTCTTTGAAGGGAACTAGGTCCTCGAGGGGTACTAGCAAGCGTTATTGAGCATTACTTACCAGCAGTATTAGATGGAAACCTATCTGGGAACAATATTTATTAGAATAAACAAGCTTGAAGGATTTAGAAAGATAGCAGGTCTTTTTCACATAATATTAAGCGAGCCTTTTGAATGTGTCTCTCTCACCTCATGGAATCTCATCTCGTTTAATCTTCATAAAATGACTTTTCATCTAGGTTGACCAGAAATATGTAGTCAACGCGGATTGTTCCATGTTGAGAAAACACTTTCATGTTAGAAGTATTATATTATCCTAACCAAGAAGCAGTGGCTGGCATCAGAAACACTACACCTGAAGCAACAAGAACACTTCTCTCTCTAGTAATTCGAAAACCACCGTTAACATAAGTCCTCTGCAGGCTTGGCCGAAATGCTTACCTTCAATTCCCTAGGTACATCACCACTTAAGTGTTCAATGCACAGAGTGTTGGTAAACCACTCAGAGTGCATATGCATACCCCTCACCAAGATGGTAATTGCCTCGAGGATCCCACACCGAGTCCACGGAGTACACGTCCAACGTTATACAATTTTTTCATCCCGTGGTAGCCATATTTTACGCATTTATGCTCTCCCACCGTGGCTGTCTTACAGATGTCTCCCGTTCCACAACATGTCCACACATCGCACAAACTTTCCCTAATATCTCATTCCACCACATGATATGATTTTCCCAACTACCCCTCAGATGCACGTATCCTACGCACCAACACCACTCCCAGGTCCATACCCTTGTTCCCTTCTCGTCTGCTTCGCATCTTGTGTCTCCGAACCATCTTCTACACCCCCCGAATTTGTCGTCGTCTCTCCTCCAAACCCATGTTCGCTGATGGCTTCTCCATATCTGATATTCTCTGCCGTCTTCTCACCTCGAGCCTTCTTTTCTTCGCTTGCAGCTTGGTCGGATTCGGACTTCTCTGAGGTAGCTGTGACATGTGGTTAGCGCGGGGTTGAGAGTGCAGTTGTTTTGAGGTGGTAATTACCACCGAATTGGCCACTTGAAGTTGGTTTTGGGGGATCGACTATCTGTTTGCCTCCATACCTAATAGGAATCAGCTGTTTTAATCAAATTTGAAATATCGAGATGACAATGCGAGCTCAGTAAACTTACTGAGGTCCCTCTCCTCCAGGCTCAACATCCATAAGCTTTGGATCGTTGCTTGATGTATTTGCCATTTTCCACTTATGTATTTAGATATTTTGAATTATCTTTATTGAAACTCGTTGCTTAAGTATTAATTGATGTATGATATTAAGTCTTGCTTCATGAAAGAAGTTGTCAATTGCTAGTATGAAGAGGAGGATCTAGGGTCAATTTTGGTGGGGTAGGGTGCTGAGCTAGCTAGGTGACGTGTGACGTATTGATATGAGGGGTTCTCAACGTTCTGGCCGGACAGCGAGGAGTATGGCAATAATTTGACAGTCAAATATGCCAAATATGTAATGTAATGTATGGTAGTAAATATGTAAAGTGGGTATTATATCGCGACATATGGTACAGCAAATAGCCAACAGCTCGTCAACATTCCATGGTTATATCTGCTCGACTCCTTCTTTTCGATAGCATTGACCGAACGCAGATTGCCCTCTGCCAAATCTCGGATTTCAACAGTACACTACCGCAATACAACACCTAATCTTCTGGCAAGCGCTGCCCTAACTTGTTCATGAAATTCGTTGGCCTCCTCATTCGTCAACGTTCTCTCAAGACTTCGGTAATTTATACGATAGCATAAGCTCTTCCTTCCTGTTTTGGGATGAGTAAACTCATCGGTTTTTCTGACATCTTCCACAACATCTCCTCCAATCTCTCTTACAATTTCCATCACGTCGTTTTCGTGGAAACTCTGTACTGGAGCTAGCCCCCCGGCTGCCGAAGTAGTAGATGAAGAGGATGGCTGAAGCCAGAATGCAACGTCTTTGTAACAGGCGGGATATTTGGAGAACGGAACATATCGTTTCAAAGAAGTGAGGTCAGATGAGACGCCCTTGAACTGATCGAGAAATCGTGCGTCTTGCGACCAAAACAGACGAATATCCGGTATTTCGAATAAAAGCATTGCGATACGTTCGAGACCGATTCCAAACGCCCAGCCTAGTTGTGAAGGCACGCCTGCATTCTCGAGAAGTTCCTGTTTGACAACACCACAACCAAGAACCTCTAACCAGTCTCCTTGCCAGAAAATTTCGAGCTCCCAAGATGGACTTGTCCATGGGAAATACGCTTCTATCCATCGAACTTTCAATGGTTCGTCATGGTAGTTTGGGTCTGCTGCGATGGCTGCCGTTTTCGCCCTGGAAAATATTTCTACGACCATCAACTCCAATGACCTCTTCAGGTGTGCTGCGATCGCCTCTGCCTCGTCATGCGAGTGACCGTGCTGTAACGGATTCCGTTCAGGATGTGTAGGTGGATTTGGATCTTCGACAATCATGTCATGGGTTGGCAAATTCGAAATATCGTCCCAAACAGCTTGCACAATGTTTCCTCCCGGCGCTTTCCTCCTATCCCACATCCTCGCACCCTCCATCTGGTGGAAGATCGGGTAGTGGGTTTTATCGATCGCATCTCTCCGGTAAACATCGGCACTACAGGTATATCCCACGCTTTCATTTGCTCCGAAGATGGCCAGTTCGTGGGCACTTGTGTGGGTTCGTAACACCGTTTTCTCGTTCACGTAGTACGTGTCTGTTTTGCTTCGCCCAGGATGATCTGCGGGGAATCCCAAAGAGTCGAAATTCTCGTGCGTACTAACAACCGGAAAGAATTTGTTGTAGTGTTTGAAAGTCGGAGAGGGAAATTTGGACTCGACAATTGAGCGGGTTATGGATATGGGGTGATCTGGTGTGTTGTGTAACTCGCGCGTCAAAGAGTTGGCGATCGAGTCTGGTACGTTGAACCAGTTGTCTTTCTGGTACTCCTTGCCACCTAATGTGATTTTACCGGGAAATGCACTCGCTGACGCCTGTTAATTCAAAGGCAATTTTGTAGAGCAACATCAACGAACCTGTCGAGTTATGCCGGCATTGGCAGCAGCTCTTAAATCTCCCCGCAGCACCATTAGAGAGTCCTGTAAAGATAGCCAAAGCCTCTCTGACCGTCGAAAAGCGCTGTCTTCTCGCAATTGACCTCATAGCTAACACATAATGATAGAATCCGGGGAGAGCATTGGTTGACAGCTCCAAGCTTCACAAGCTTCGAGGCTGGTGTGGACCGAAGATTTAGGCTCTTAGGTTCTTCCGTTCCGGTCTGCGCAATGACGGAGACGCTCTGGTCTGAATGTTGGTGGAGTTACACATCATCTCGAATTATTTTCCCAGGAGCACACGACCACAAGAAAATATACCTACACTCACTCGCTCGAACTATTCGTTTACCTGGAATTCTGTCACTCTCTCCCCTCGGCAAGACGTTGCTTTCGGCGCTACTTTTGAGCCCGTCGACCAAAGTCTGCTTGCAAGGTTCCGCGTCTCGGTAATATTTTCCTGGCCGAGCGTATCTTTAGGAATAACCTCATAATTCAGCTTATCTCCGCTCGATATCTTTATTTCTACCCCTCCACACTCTTTTCCTGGATCCTGCTTCTGCGGTATGCTATCACGGTTCGAAATTCTGCTATAATGTCGTCCACGAGTATGTCGAAGTCGCAACAACAAGACTCGGTATTGTCGAGAAAGAAGGCATGGGAGAGAGCGCATTTAAAATATCCCTTCTGGTTTGGTGGAAGCGCAAGCTGTTTTGCAGCATGCGTAACACATCCTCTGGATCTTGGTAGGCATTCTCTGATATTTTGCTGCAGTACAATTTACTAATCTGCATTTCCATAGTCAAGGTCCGCCTACAAACTCGCAGCGCTGACGCTCCAAAATCGATGGTTGGAACTTTTGCACACGTATTTAAGAATGATGGTTTCCTGGGACTCTACTCTGGCCTGTCCGCGTCCCTCCTTCGTCAATTGACTTATTCCACAACCCGATTCGGCGTTTATGAAGAACTGAAAGCCGATTTCACCACGAGCACACAATCTCCATCCTTCCCCGCCCTCATAGCCATGGCATCAACATCTGGCTTCTTGGGTGGAGTAGCAGGTAATCCTGCAGATGTCCTTAACGTCCGCATGCAGCACGATGCCGCACTCGCTCCAGCAGATCGCAGAAACTACAAGAACGCAATTGATGGATTAATACGAATGACGCGTGAAGAAGGCTGGAGAACATTGTTTCGTGGGGTCTGGCCAAATAGTATGCGAGCCGTCCTCATGACAGCCTCGCAACTAGCATCATACGATGGCTTTAAACGAGTCCTGATTCAACACACACCTTTAACCGATAACTTAACAACACATTTCTCCGCCTCCTTCCTGGCAGGCTTCGTCGCAACTACAGTCTGCTCTCCAGTCGACGTCATAAAGACTAGGATCATGAGCGCCAGTGAGAGCAAACCACTTAGAAAGCTCTTGATGGATGTATACAGAGACGAGGGTGTAGGATGGATGTTCAGAGGATGGGTTCCTAGTTTTATCAGACTGGGTCCTCATACAATCGCTACCTTTTTGTTCTTGGAACAACACAAAAAGATATACAGGAGGTTAAAGGGGATTGATGATTCGGCTGGCGAGCCATAAATGGCTGGAATATTATCCACAATCACCTGAGATCAACGACAAGTTCGAAAAGACTTGATGCTCGAAACTCGAGACGGAGAGAGTTTGTTTAGACTTGCTAGACTGGTGGAAATCGGGAAGTAAGAGCTCGAATGGATGTACCATGATAGACTCGAGGGTTGGCTCATGGCCCTGTGGTAAAAGATAGACGAGGATGTAAGAAGGTCTAGAGTGAACTTGGCAAAGATAAGGTTGAATTTCTGTTTTTATACCATACACAAAGTTTAGGAGTTTGGCGGATAAATGCATATGAAGGCGTCAGAGGCGTATATGTCACTAGGGGATATTGTAAGATTACCTAGGTTTCCGTTTTGTGTAGACGCATATTTTGGGAGGGAAGACATTTCTGCTGTTATAGAATAGACAATACAACGTTAAAATGTTATATCTGCAGTATGTGTATCGATAAAGCCATGATTGAAACCGATAGATTATAGCTTCCATTGTATAACAAGGTATGGTTTTGAGTCTTGGATAGCGATTGTAGCTTGAAAGACCTTTTTGGTATGGTTACTACGAATAAGTTTGCCCTTTGCTAAAGAGTCTGGACATTCCAAAACCTGTTAGATTACAGACCACGGTCTAGATTGCCGCCTTGTCCCCATGTGGGTATGATGTTTTTCCCGGAACGCCGTGATCTCATATGCAAGTATTAATACATGGTTTTGTCTCTGTTGCCTTTTTATGGCGAGGCTATTAGAGCCCTCAGAAATTCCTGTTGTTTCGAGATCTCGTAGATGGTGAGTGCGAAACGCTATTACTTTTATCGACCTTTTAACTTCAATTCCAAGTTCCACTTTGTCCATATGGAGTGGCTCCATAAGGCGTCGCAGCTCCAGTTCCTCCCCATCCACCACCATTCGCAGCTCCAAATGGTGTCGTGTAGCCCTGGTTATCCCATCCACCGCCATTCGCGCCGCCACCAATATCCGGACTTCGTGGTGGTTCGTAATCAGCTCCATTTGCGCCACCCTCGCCCTCACCAGTCAAGGCTGCAATGACCGATGCTAGCTTTTCTTGTAGGACTTTGATTCCCTGCTGAATGATGGCATCTGGTTCCAGGTTTCCGACACTCTCTACCTCGAAATAAAATCGTTCGGGCACTGCATCGTAATCGAACGGCTCGCCTTCTTGTGGTGGTTCTTCCCATTTGACATTTTCACTTTCAGGCCTAGGGGGGGTCAGTAAAGAGGCCTTTCGGCGTACAAGTGCGAGTAGACCTACCATTCTGCTGCGGCATCCTCCTCATACCACAAATCGACGTGCTTCAGCTTATTATGTGGGTCGTACTCGAAACCTACAGCAGATACTGGTGCCCACTTGGCATGCTCTTTTGCGATTCCCTTCTTTGCAATACACTTCATGCGCAGTTCCTGGCCCTGGCGCAGCTTGCAAATAACAGTGCCTAACCCCTCTGGATCTGTGATCACTGGACTTCCTAGATCTCCATTCCCAGATACGGCCTCAACTACCAGATCCCGTGCGTAGACTTTCATAATCTCATCTCCTGTACATCGCGCGTGCAACGTAAGAGTAACGCTGCACTTGTCGCAGTAGTTGTCGCAAGAATCACAGTCCCGTGAGTATTCGATACTGTCTGCATTTTTTGAGTTTAATGGAATAAGCCCCAACCGATGCGAGATAAATTCATCTGCTAGTACCGATGTGTTCGCCGCAATTTCTACGAGGTCAATTGCCATTGTAGGGACCTCAGCCATGATGACCCGTCGTATCGAGTTCGCGAAAGCCAGATCCACGTTTGATAATTCGAAATCGACCGAATGCGGCGCAATCTATCATCTTGCGCGTGAGCCTCGCCTTCATGAAAGACTTAGCCTCGCGGGTACTTACAACTGGAATCTTCACGATAGGCCCGGACGCCTCCGTATCTAACATCATCGCATCGTAATCCATCTTGAATGTCTGGCGTTGACCGAAAGTGGCTTTGGCGCAAGGGAGGCTGAGAGAACGTAGGGACGAGGCTTCAAGATGTTCGGAACAGCTTTCTAAGCTTGTTTGAGGTGGATCGACCGAGGGCAGTCTGCAAGGCTGAGGTATCCGATCAAACAAGTGTTGGGTACGTAGCAACGCCTCTTGCTGTGGATTTGCGATTCGTGCCTGCGGTGATGTTTGGGGAGACGCGTTGCGATGATCTTGAGGAGGCTGACGTCCAGGCAAATTCTAGAGAACAATGCCGGCGCGCATTCCTGCACCCTTGCCAGATGCGGAAAAGGCTTGGATTAGTATCACGTGGAGGCTTCGCTTAATCCCAGGGGGCTTGATCTTTTTTATGTCGTGGGATTTAGCGGAGAATCGCACCGCGCGACATAGGGAGGACATGACAAAGGAACTTCCACTTCCTCCAACAATTAACTAATGTTGACATATTTTGGAGCTCCTTGCAAATTTGAGGCTGTTCTGCACAACTCAGCACACGTGTCTTCCCAGGTATAATGGTCTCAACAACTTTTCCTTCGCCACCGAATGACTAGAATCCGTACTCATAGGTAAACGTTGGGGATCCTCTAAGCGAGAGTCAATAGGAGAAGACCCAGTGATTATTTGAAGGTAGGGATTGGAGTGTTAGAAAGAAAAGAAATCAAGAGAAAGACGTTAGCTTCGCCGAGTCTTGTCATTACCCCGTAGTCAGCGGGGTTTGTAACATTAAAGCGCTGAGTTGGCATGTTAGGTGTTGGTACTCAGCCTCCTTTGTAGCTCGTAACAGGTTACCGAAGTGTCAAGCCGGACAAACCTTCGTCTAGAACACCTAGACCGGTTATGATAACATTGTTGAAAGCAAGCTTTCAAGAATCCACTGTATTGGGGTGCCACTGGGAATTGAAGTCATGCTGGGTCTGAAAATAAGAAGTTGGAAATTAGTAGAATTGACTTGACAGGAGCTACATGGCTGAAGATCAAGAATATCCAAGAATATCCAGACAGGATACGAGTAACGACACTCTGTAGATCCGCAGATTGACAAACGGAACGGGATATCTACGGATGAGACTTTCTCGGTTGACTGCATGTGATGCCGCTTAATCAATAAGACTTTCAAGCTCATCGCCAAGATTTGTGGAATCAATAGGTATGAACTTTCGGACCTGGATGAGGCAGGTGAAGCATTTATCAATTGCACTGCCCTCATCACTCAAACCTCCAAGAGGTGAGCTACCTCCCCGTAAGTATCATTCGTATGCAGCCAGCCAATCTCTGTTGAATGGCTTCGTTGGATACCGCAAGAGTGGTACTGCAACCGATATTGGCGCTGTAGATATTCTTGAGGAAGGAAGAGAGTACAGGAGCGTGCCGCCGAAGACCACAGCGCTTCCAGCCCATCCCATATTCCCGGAGTAAGGTTAATAATATGAGGACAGGATGGGGAAGACTGGCTATGATCTGGCGCTTGACTCCGGTCCATGGGAATGATCAAATGTTTGTTCGACTCGGCAGTGTTCATGATCACGCAGATTCTAACAAGCATAAATCTCACCAACAAAGAGTTGGTGTAATACTCGGGAGTGGTTGATAGGCGCGAAGGAGAAGTAAACTGGTCCTTTTGACGCCGAACTCACGAGGATGAATCCCGTTTGACACACGTTTCAACACTCCCATCTCCACGCTCGAGCATTGGATCTCTCTTTTGCACTGTCGGTAGTGTTCCAGACTGTGTGCGCGTACACGTAGCCAAGAACGAGCGATAATCACCATGCATGCTCCCAGTCCCGGGCCGTTGAGGTCGAGCTCCAGCGATCACGATGGAGTTTGTCGCATCTGTCAACCCCTCTCAGGCCCGTTCCGGCAATTCGATTGGCACTTCTGGTGGCTGAGCTCGTCGAATATTCAGCGTGTCTGGGTTACGCGACCGGCCCAGAAGGTGAAAAGTCAGCGACCAAGCGGAGCGGTGGAGCGAGCGACTGGAAGCCACAGAGGGAGAGAGGGTTGGGGAATGACGGCGAAAAGCACAAACCCTCCGAGGCGCAGCTCTTTCTGGCTCGCCCCCGGTCCAAATTATAAAACATATCAACTGCCCGCCACCATTGAACTCGACTCATTATTCAACCAGGACAACAGGACAACTTCACATTCATACAAGAACACTCACAGACGTACTCTTCCACTTCTCAACATATCTACTGAGAAAGTACCAAACCACGCACCATGTCCTTATCACCATCCCCAGAGTCTTCGCGGCCATCGTCGCGATCATCCCGCAAGCCGATGTCTATAGATCTGTCGAACCTCCCACAACTCATCCAGCCAACTCCTCCTTCGAATACCCTCATCATCACCAACCTGCAAGACCCAGAAATCTTTCGCGCAGATAACCTCCAAACGATCAAGGACCTCGTCAACGCTTCTGCGCCAATCCACTCATGGGCACCACTTAAGTCTTTCCGCCGCATTATCGTTTCTTTCTTCGAGGAGGATTCCGCTATCCGCATCAAACAAATTCTAGATGGCGAGGCTATCATGGGCGAGCGAGTAAAGGTTTATTTTGGACATGCGACTTCGATCGAACCTAAAGACGAGCACCTGAACCTCCCAGACGCCGGAAAGCTATTCTTCATTTCCCCGCCACCATCTCCACCACACGGATGGGAAGTGAAGATGGAAGATGCGCCAAACAAGCAAGTTCACGCAGAGGATTTGGCAGAGGCATTGGCAAAGTTACATCACAGACCAAGAACCGATCTACCTGCAAGCCCGGTTAGCGATGGAGAGACTGAGGGCAGAACACGAAGCGGATCACTCGTTTTGTACAACCCAAGTGAACATGGTCTTAGTCCAAACTTGCCAGCGATCTCACTTGATGATATGACTGGAGATATCAGCCCGATCAACGTTGAGAAGCCACTGCTAGCACACACTTCAAGACCTCCACTCGAATTGATGGACGAGTCATGAGACGAGGATATACAGAAAACAAAACTGAAATTATCAATGGCGTTTACGGGGCATGGGAAAGGCGTCAATACTTTGAATTAAACAGCTCTGCGTGTGCATTGAGCGTAGGAATAGCGACGGAGTAGTAGGGTTCTAGATGAGCGCTTGTATGATAGCAAAAGCACTTGGGATTTAATCTCAAATTGTAAATTGATTTCTTTCTCACCATACCAAAATAACTGCTTTGCTGATCAATACACTCCTTTTACTGTGAATCTAGTTGGATTTACCTCCGTCACGAGATTGCTCGAATAGTAAACATCCTTAACTCCTTCCATGCAAGCACGCACTCCAAGCGACATCCCATCCGTCTTCCCGTCTCCGCCCTCCTCGCCACCTACGAAATCTTCCAACAGCAAAAAAAATCCAGAACCTTCACCACATTATTATCGAACACAGCCCCAATCTCAACTCCACCGCACCTTCCAGATTCACAAACTTGCATTTCTCGCATCTCGGCATGCATCAACCATTTCCCCCCTCGGCAATCGTGAAGCGTCAAAATGAAAAGAACTTTAACGCACCCCACACTAGCTCTTCGAAGGATCAATACAGGGATCTGATCGACAGTAGTGGGGGTTCGTTGGTGTGTGTGCTTAGCCGGCAGATAAAACTCCGTACTGTTGAAGGCGGGCCTTTTGTAGGTGCTGGATCTGGACAGTGAGGTATGGGAAATATGCGCTACGGAGTCGTGGTGATGTCCATGATGCCCATGTGATGTCCGAGTGGCAAGTCATGTTTCCTCTGTTGTGTTGGGCTACCAACATGGTAATTCACTTACACATTCCCTTTCACCTATTCCCCTGGTCTTAGTTTATCCTGAATTTACATTCCTTGTCAATTGCATTCGATCATCAGTTCTACTGCATAGCCGTCTGACAGCTCTTTCTGCGCGTGGGTGGCGATATGGCTTGGCAGGCCTGGAACCCTTTTTACAGGAAAGATGAGAATACGAGATATGTTTATGGATATCAGTTCCAGTGGACGCCGTTACATCAGACTGCGGAGGAGTTGGAGTCGTTGAAGTTTAGTTATGATACCCTTGGCGAGAGGGCGCTAAATCGGCTTGATGAGATTTCACCACCTGCGAGCAGTGGACATATTCCGAGGAATAGGGAGAGGGAAAAGAGTGATGAGGGTTTTGTTAGGGTGACGAAGACGGATGGTGGTGGTGGAGGTGAGAAAGTAGGAAGTGAGAAAGAAGAGAGTAAGAAAGAGGAAAAGAAGAAGCGAGATTTATATGAGTTATTGAAAGACAATGCGTCCGAGGGAGGTGCTTTAGGGGAGTTATGGGATCAAGTGAATACTGTTCCTGATTGGGTAGATTGGGATCAGATTTCAAGAGGTCAAGATGTGTTTTACAGATATGGTGGTCCTGCTTTGACAGCTGTAAGTTCTCACCTAGTTTTGTGAGCGGTGGAAGAGTATTCACTGATTGGACATTGTAGCTTGCATACCAGAGTTTATTAGGAGGAATGGCTGCTAGTAGAGTTACAGAAGGTACGTCTTTGAATTTTGAGCCCCAAAAGCGACGAATTTCATGATGTTAGGATGAAGTGGGGCGTTGGCTTACCTCCACGGCTCCCCCTTTTCACAAGCGAAGTTACACGAAGCTGACTTGACATTAGTACTTGCACGCACTGGAGGCTTCTCACCTAATGTTGCGAAACAACGAATGTTCGGTATGTAATTTCTCACTACTACTGTCTTTCTTCATTTATCAGAAAGCAGACATTTAATAATGAGGTCTTCCTCGCCCATCGGCCAATAAACTCTTGCCTACCTCTTTCTTCAACTCCCAAGCCAGACTTCCACTTAAAACTCACTAACCCCACCCAGAAACAACACAACACATACTCCAATGCACCCTTTCCCTCGAATCCATCCAACCCGGCGGCGCCGGCTTCCAATCCACCATCCGCGTCCGTCTCCTCCACGCAGCAGTCCGTCGTCGCATCCTCGCCCTCGCCAAATCCCGACCCTCCTACTACTCCGTCGCAGACTATGGTGTCCCCATCAACGACCTCGACAGCATCGGCACCATCTCCACCTTCTCCGCAACCCTCGTCTTCTTCGGCATCCCGCGCCAACTAATCTGGCTGCGGCCCCAGGAAATAGAAGACTACGTCGCGTTATGGCGTCTCATAGCGTACTACATCGGCGTCGACTCCTCCTACTTCTCTACCCCTGAGCGCGCCCGCGCCATCATGGAGTCATTGATGGTATCGGAAATCCATCCCAGTGAGATGAGTAAAGTATTAGCGAATAACATAATCACCTCGTTACACACCCAACCGCCTGCTTTCGCATCAAGACAGTTCCTAGAAGCGAGCGCGCGGTGGATGAATGGGAATCAAATGGGCGATGAACTCGGAATGGGACGGCCTAGTTGGTATTATTGGGCTTTGATGGCTGGACAGTGTGCGTTTTTTTGGGTGGGCAGTTGGTTGAAGAGGATGAGTCCTAGAATGGATGCACATGGTCTCAAGGTAAATTCTGCCCTGTTCCCCTTCCCCCTCCCCCTCCAACCCAAACCCCATTTATATTAACACCCACAGTCCCTCCGCCACCTCCTGTACCAAAACATAATCCACTCCAAAACCTTCGGTCTAGGCACCGAGACCGATTTCGCATTCAAATACATCCCGTCGTACAACCTCGTTGTCCCTGATAACGGGGACGAGATGAGCGGTCTGATGGTTAAGGGCGTGGAGAGACGGAATCTATTGACGCTTGTTTTGGGGGGTGTTTTTGCGGGTGGTGTGTGTTGGGCGTGGACGAGAGGGTTGGTGGAGGTTGTGAGGTGGTGACGGATGCTCGTGAGATTTTGGATTGCCCTTATAGAGGATTGATGTCGGAAACACGTGGGAGTCAAGTGCACAGAGAGTATTGTTGATGGGTCTCAATTGTGTATTGATTGTGGGCTTGCCGCAAGATACTATGAGGAAGGCGTGAGCATTTTTAGAGGGAGTATTAACATAATCTAACATATTGTAACATTATCACTTGGGCGGCATAGGAATATCACAGAGTGAAGCATAGTGATCCAAGTTATAATTTGCATTGCATATGTATGCATCTGCATTTCATCTCATTAACGCGAATAAGCCAGAGTATCTCCTCGCGAAGATGTACCCCTCTGCCAGTAACGCCATGCCTAACCAGCCTTATCGGTGGTCCGAAAAATCTACCACGGCCATAACGATAAGTTTCCACCTTGTCCTTAGACTCCCAGCAACATCAGCACTTAGCCGCCTGCACATCAGAACGAGTGCCTTAAACCCAAAGTCACTACATACCCCTAAACCCAAAAGCAACGCCATACAAAGTATCCCTAAGCAATTGCCTCGCCGGACTCCCACGCTTTGAATAATACAATCTAAAGAAAAACTGACACGAACCTCCTAACTCCACGTACCCTAGATATTAAAAAATCAAAACACCCCCCTCGCCCCGTAAATGAGAACCCGCCTCTCTAATGTAGAAATGAAATGTTATACAGAGCTGATAATTGGATTCCCAGCTGTTTTCGGTCGCTCCGGCCCCGGTTCCTCTTCCATTACGTCGTTCGATTCGGCTTTTGTCATCCTCAGCTTTTCGTCAAACATCGAAACGAGACGTTCCGAGTATTGGTCGAGCAAGCCTCGCATCAGTACTTCCTCATTCATCGTCTTCGACTTGAGACTACGTTCTCCAAGTGCTATCACCGTCAGTCGTAGCTCCTGATCGAGCTCCCTTAATAATTCGTCCTTTACAGGTTCTGAGGATAACAACTTTTTGCGATAAGATCGCAGTGTTCGACATGCGGATTCTGTAGACATGTTAAGCGTCCCATATTCGCTGAAATTCCCAGTCCCTCTGACTCGACCCTTGGAATCGTTAAGAGATGCTAGAGAAGGCCTCCTCATGTCTTTCACTTTAGGACTTGGTGGGCTCCGCGAGCGATTGCGACCGGTTCGGCGAACGGCGGTGTCGTCAGAAGATGATGGAAAATGCTTCGAGTTGGCCAAAGACACAGGCGGCGGAGCCAACGCGGGTGACTGTGAGGTGAGACCGCCATATCGGGATGTTTTGCGTCTCAAAACCCGTGGGGGAGATCGGTTACCTGTGGGTGTAGGAGTTGGAGTTGGCCGTTGAAACTCAGCCATCTCAGCTCTTGAAAGCACCCGTCTAAGAGGTGGCCTTGCCACTGAAGTATCTCTTGGGGTAGATGGATCACCTGTGAGAATAGAAATGTCTGGAGAATCTTGTGGCTCCGCTGGGTTGGCAGACAGATCCCATATCATGATTGTACCGTCAGATCCTGTGCTGACCAAAGTTTTCTGATCGGTTCCAGGGCCTTCCAGCAGAACAACATCCTCTACTCCAGCAGTGTGCCCCCACTCTTTGTCAAGAAAAGCACCCGTCACAGCGTTATAAATCCGAACCGATTTATCAGTTTCAGAGAGTCCAGCAAGAATGGTTGGGTGACCTGGAACGATGCTTGGTGCGCCCATTGCGAGAGCACCTAAGACAACGTTATCTATGCCTTCACTGTCAGTAGCTCGAAATGAGCTCAGTAGCTTGCCGCTAGTGATGTTGTATGTCCCAACACTTCGATCAGATAGGGCAACGAGCAGATTACCCGCTTGGTCTCCAACACATGCTGTCATGGACTTTGGGGCGCTCTTGAGGGAAATAATCTTCAATGGAATGGCCGCCACTTCGTGCTCGTGTGGTGCCTCCTTCTTCAACACTTGTCGGACCTGTATGTCGCGGTTTGCGGAACATGATATCAACTTCTCTCCATTTTGGGTAAAGAGTATGTTGGACACGCTCGCCGTGTGTTCATTTAGTGTTTGCATCAATGTCCACTGGCCAGATATCAAACGAAATAGCTGCACGGTCTTATCCCTCCCGCAAGTAGCTAGCATCACCTCGTTTCCATTTTCGTGCAGCGCAATGTCAAGAATGTCGGAAGAGTGCGCTCTTGCTTCGAACGTGACATTTTGACTTGTTACGTCAATAACTCGTAGAACACCAAACTTGTCACCAGTGACTAGAAACTTTACACCGACAGAGGCCCGCACCACGAGGCACTGGTTATGAATATCTTCTTGTGAAGCAGACTGTTCAAGGTTCGTCTTTAGCGTCGCTTTGCAGTTACCATCTAGATCCCAGAAAACGATCAGACCATCTGCCGACCAAGTGATGAAAGACGCTTGCATCTCGTTGGGTTGCGACAATAATCGTACTCCTAAAACAGCATCCCCGTGAGCGGGGAATGGAGTGCAGGTTGCTTTTGGTGGTCCAACCAGATCAGATGTGGCTTTCGATATCTCAATTAATTGCTTTGAATTGATAGTTACGAGGTTTCGACATGCATACCCCATAGCAAGAAGATGTCCATCATCAGACGTCACACCATCTTCCTCAAATGCGATAGGTGACTCTGGAGAGCTGGCTGGTGTCAACAATTGATCCAAATTTAAGGTTTTGAATCTCCCGTTTTGCCCTCCTATCCTCACCAGACGCTCCTGGGAATCCACAGCCATACATGCTATAGAAAACCCTGTTGAGGCTACCTTTACTATCGTCGTACCCTCCATATCGTCGAGCAGGCAGACGTCACCTCTGTCGGAGCATATTATCGCTTTCGAATCAGATATTACAGCAATTGTCGTAAAGGTCGTTTCTAGAAGTGGGCCGAGAATAACGTTTCTTCCAGAAAGAGTTTTAACCATACCAATCGGTGGTGTGGGCGTTGGTTGTGGTGTGCCATCCAGCCCGAATCTTGGCTTCGTAGGGGACGAGCTTCGAGGCTCCTCAATCCTCCATACTTTGACATGCCGAGTGCCAATGCTGCAACACGTCAGTATATAACAAGTCTACATTAAATTCGCAAGCTTACGTAACCACACTGTTCCCAAGCCAGAGCATTTGTCTGATATTCGTAATGCATTTCCCACTCGAATGTAATTTTGCACTTCCCGTTCTTTGGTTGATAGACCACACGTATAGAAACCCATCTTGAGGTGACCCTAAGCTGGCCAAATATCTGCCGTCTGGGCTGAAAGCAATGGCACTAACTCCAAAGCAATGTCCGTTCAATATAGCTAAAGGAATGTCTGAAGAACCATTTTGAAGAGAAAAAATAAGTACGCGGGGTTCCACGCCAGTCTGTAGATGCGTTAGCAAATTTCATGTCATGAGGAACCAATAATACCAACCTCGCCGACCGCCAACAGCTTTCCGTCACGGCTTATAGATAAACATGTGGCAGCTTTGATTCGACCCCTCGCGGTCCCAGACTTTGCGTTCGGCGAGTCTGCGAGATACTCAAGTCCAGAATGTGGGGTAGAAGGCGAGTAAGGAATTCCAGCGTCCCTCAGGCCTCCTAATGTTCTATTCCTCCCATCATTTGCAACGTTGGTGGGGGTGGATGGTGTTCCGGCAAAGCTACTGACGGTTTGCGAAGCGACCGCCGAAGGTCTGGCTCGGAAGAATCGTTGAGTCGTGTTGGATGCATCGTCGATATTAACAACTACAGTAGCAGCACCCGCTGTGTAGGCGAATATGGGTTCGTTCGGTAACGTATCGAATGCAGTCGGTGAAGAGACTGTTGTCCCAATTACTCTTTTCAGAGAAAGCCCGGATTCGTACGGACTGCGTGTTTTATAAGGAGATTTTGGCCCACGCTGAAATGGGGTATTTAACGGTGTGAGTTTGCTGTTCAATCCTAGGCCCGTGTTGGCAGAAAATATAGAGGTTCTCGCGTTGGTGGGTGTGGACGTCATCCTGAAGCCATGAAGATGCGGCCAATTGGGGAAAAATTATAATTATCGAGCTTCTCGAGTAAGCTTCGGAATCAACGGTACACCAATTGTATTTCAAGCAGCCAAATCAAGGGTTTCGCCTTGGTGTTGTTGAGGTGAATGAGCGAAGAGAACATGGAAAAGCTATGTTTTGGTGTTAGCTGAATCCGCTTGTGCGATAAACAAGACGAATCGATGGTACTAACAGTGTGGTGATCAATTGATCAGAATCAAAAGCCGAAAACAACGCGTCATGAACTGATGGAAAAGGCGCCCTAATTTGGCAATGAGGACGACGGACGAGGAAAGCGCACAACAAAGAAATTTCCAACGAAAGAAAGTGAGGTTTCTCAGCTTTCTGCAAAACGCGCTCTTCGATCGTCAGGGGATGGATTGCCCCTGTTGTTCACCTGCAGTCGGCACAGGTGAAGGGAGTCAAGGGACTCGAGGACAAAGGCCGTGTGCCAGCCAACCGCGATAATGCAGGCGTTCACGGGCCACTCACCGCCCTGAGGATAGCTCTCGACAGTCACACAGCACGAGCAGTTGCCGAATTGACGCTGTCAATGCGTTATTCTCAAATCATTTCAAGATGTGTTGGTCAAACTATACGATCGTTTTCATTTAGTTGGTTTTTGAGAGGCTATAAGGCTGACATGTGCTGTCGCTAATATTACAAGCAGCATTGTTTCTGCATAATACAACTCTCTGTATCAATCTCCACGTCCTGCAATTAATGCACTCGCTCTTCGCAGCCGCTATTCATACATGGCTCGCTATATAAACATTTTTGGACCCATTCTGACCGATGTGCTTCTCGATTTCATGCACCGGCATCGACATCGACCCAGAATATCCACTCGTTCGCCTCATATCTATTCCTACAATCGCCAAAATGACTACTACTGGTAGTTTTATTCCAGATATATCGTGCTCGTTTTCAACACTCAACTATCTCTTCTTCGTGTGACGAGTTCCGGCTTCTCATCCTCCCCTCTGTAACTTGTGCCAACTGAAGAAGATCTGTTCTCGCCAAAGTAGCCACCTTCTCGGCGGCTCGTCGTGACCAATGCCGGTATGATTCGAGAGCTCTCGTCCGAGGTCGCTGGCCCCTTCTTCCACTCGGGTTTTCCACGTCCAATTCCCTCGTCTCTCCATCTGCGAGGCGGCTTCACCCCCAACTCAGCATACCTACTCCAGACTCTCTCGCCTCTTCTGAACCATCGCATCTCACGATCAATCTGAGTTTCCGCATCGGGCCGCCATTTAGATTTGAGTATTCGACGGATAGCATCAGGAGAGATTTTGAAGTGCTGTGCCAATACATCGGTGGTGTACTGCTCTGGCATCTCTGCGTGAAGGGTGCGTATACCAGCTATCGCATCTGGTGACAAGCGTTTTTGTGGATTCCACCCATCTGGAAATCTCTCTTTCAACCTAGCTTTCTGCACCTGCCATGGCTCTTTTTGCGGGGGTACCCAGTCATCCGTTGGCGGCTCGGTTTTGTTTGGTGGCGAGCTATAGCTGATAGTAAAACCTGCTTCCTTAGATTTAGATTTTATTGTGCTCCGTTCCGGGGACGTCGAATCTTCGGATATACGCTGCTTTCTCCTTTGATTCATGGACCGCAACGGTCCCGAAAACAATGAGTCTTCCTTGGCAGGTTGCTTCAAGCCTTGATGAAAGAGCGGTAATGGCTCAGGATGCAGCTCGGTATCTAGGATTTTCGATCGTGGCGAAGAAGCCACCTCTGTTGCAAGAGCCTCTATTGCTTCAGGTGTCAGCTCCGCGAAGGCGCTTTCGAGATCGATACTGGCCTCCGGCGGCTGATTGGTGACCGTAGAAGATTCTGCTTCGGCAGATATTTGCGCGCCGGACAATGGCTCGACGTTATCATCTTCGATTGCTGTACTGTTGCTCAAGCGCGTGTCGCCTTCTGAGGCGGTAATTTCGCAATCGAGTTGGCGATCCAGCGTGGACGCCCCATCTGTTTCATTTTGTTCCCTTGCCACGATGGGTGCTGCTGCCGTAGAAGAGTTGTGCCTTCGTTGAAATTGTAGAGCAGTCGGTACGCTCAGGGTTCTCGCATACGTTCGCGATACTTGACGAAGAGGATGGATTTGCGTCGAATACACTGGAACATTGATTTGTGTGACTGTCCGGACGAACAGTCGCAGCGTATTAGCGCTACAGCTGCAAGCCATTGTAAAATGGGTGTGTGAAAAAATGATGTAAAAGAAAGGAGAGGCATTCTAATGTTGATGCTCAGGCAAATATTTCTGCCATCTTATCGAAGGCGGTGTGCATATATTTGTTTTCCAATACCGAGCTCGAGAGCCCTCCAGCATCTCAACTATTCCAACCTTCGCCAGAGATAGTCCGCATGCGGGGAGTCCACAATCACATTGCCATTTCGAGCACGATGCGAATAAAAAGGCTTCACTTGCTCAAGACACGACTATCGACCACATCATCTCGTTGGGCAGCTTCTAGTATTAGTCTGAAGCTAGGGGTTATACGTTGATACGAAATTTCTACAGGCAAGAAGAGGATTAAAGACTTCTTATGGGCACTAAGGATTGTTTAAGAACTTTCAATTTAGCCACGCATACACTCCATGTACCCAGACATCCTGAAGCGACTATCAAGAACATGTCCGTGTCATTGAAAGCTAACAAGGCCTTGAGGCAAGCTACACACTGAGTAAGATTTGCATTTCTGATTATACACTATGTCACCCCCATCTTACATATCAAATACTCGCTTTACCTACAATGAGTTAATTTCAGGATTGTGAATTGGAAGGGGACCTCTTACCCGTGCCAAGCTGTCTTTATCTCATATTACGCGCCAGTACTCGTTGGAACCGCGCTCGACGTGCTTGTTCCGGTTCCACCTCCACCTGTTGCCTTTGCTACTGTTGCTTGCACTATCTGGCCTGCCTTGTTGAATATGATATTCACAAGAGCGCTGAGTGGCGAATAAGAGAATGTCTTCTGGATGTTTCCATTGGAAAGAGTTTGCTGTTGTCCTGTGAAGGTCATGTTGTTCAAATAGCTTCCAACAATGGTGCTTACTCCACCGACTTCCTGGACGATGTTTCCTAGATTGTCGACAAGGAATGAAAGTGTGGTTCCGCCTTGTGTAATGGAGCCCAGCAAGCCATCCACAGCTCCGACTACGTCTTCTACGATACTTGTAACATTGTTGAGGAGGTTGATAAGCAGAGGGTTCAAGTCAAGTGACTCAAAAACCCGGTTGACGATATCGACTAGGTGCCCCAGGCGAACAATGAGTTCAAGCTCTGCCGAGACATCGGTGATTGTAAGATTGACCTGTTGAACAGAAACTGCAACTCCAGCGTTGATGGTGACAAGACCAGCAACCGCAGCATTCAGGTTGATATCCGCTTTGAGGTTATCTACGTCAAGCTCAATTCGACCAACAGACAAGTTTGGCACGTTTAAGTAAACGTCTGGCGGGCTGGAAGCATCATAGGCACTGCTGCTCGTTGTTCGTGATGTCGTGGCATTCCCAACACGGCTTGATGACCTCGAAGTTGCTGTTGCGCTGGTTGGTGATGCAGCTGGCGTGGTAGGTCTGATGGTCGACGCGGAAGTTGGCCCTCTTCGAGTAGATGAAGCAAGTTGAGCAGCCTGACCGTACGTGAGCTGAACGAAAGCGAAGAAGAGCACAACGAGGAAAGCGAAACGGGATGCCATTTTGATTGAGGATTGAGCGCGACCAAATGAATGTGGTGAGAGAACTCAGTACCTAAGAGCCTTCGTGTGAAAGTCAGTGAGAGTGGAAACAGAATGTTGCTGGCCTCGAAGTTATTACATAGAGAAATGCCGGCATTGAAACTTTCCGACCACCACCGTTACATTCTAGACCAAGCTGTCCCGCGAGCTTTTCTCATGCAATTACGGATATTTTACAAAACCGTCATGAACACCCGATTTGGACGTTGATATAGGGGAGATATGGGTTGAAAACTTGGAATATTTCCCCAATGTTGTATCAGGTCCGAGCTAACCTTGCCCTTTGAGCATGGATTCTCAGGGGCTCGCATGGTATTTTGTCGCTCCGCAGCCTCCGCCCAATGGTAATTGGCAAATTCCCATCACATCCCATCTTAATCTTCCGACGCTTTCCTTGTTACGTGCGGAGAAATATCTCGGTACCAGATATCAAACGGCATTGCAGCTGGGGATTTTAATCGAGATGAGCCTTTTAGTTCCAAGTTCCTGATGGCAATCTGGTGTATCTCAGGATGCCCGTCCTCTTCAGAATCCTGTGAGGAAGTCTCTTGTGTTCTTAGATCATTGTATATCTTTGCGTACATTCTTGTAGAGGTAATTATCTGTCGTGTCTTTGTCGAGCTACATCTGACTTCTCATAGACTTTCGGTACTTCTCAGCAACAATGGCACAAAGCATTTTCAGCCGAGTTCTCTATGTAGGCTTGTTGGCCGTCCCAGCTGTAATGGGACAATACATAGGGTACTCATTGACAGACTCTGGTGATCCTGACTCGGCTGTCTACGATACCGCATCAACTCCTTCAAATTCTTCAACGAGTTATCCTCCGCCCGATGTATTTCTCAATGCAACTGTCCACGTCGGAGAAATTGACCTGACGGTAACGAACATTACCGCCAAAGTAAATCTGCAAGCAGAAGTTTTGAGTTTGCTCTCATTCAACGCTGGTGTCGATGCGTCGATCGATAGGGTTCGCCTGTTGATTCAAAATGTCGATGCCCACGTTGTCCTGGAAGCCAGGCTGTCAAACCTTCTTCTTATGATTACCGACGTGCTCAATTCAATTGATCTGAACCCAGTCATTGCGACTTTGGGCCAAGACGTTTCGCAGATCATCAATACGACTACCGGTGCCCTCGGTGGGAGTTCGACGGTATCCAGACGCTCTTTCGAACTAGAGCAAAACATCCTTTACAGTATCAACGACTATTCGGGAAACGCGCATACCAATCGCATTTTAGCACAAGATGGAAACCTTGTTGACCAAAAGCTGGACAACGGTGGTCAAATCAGCAGCGAGGTCCCAGTAGGAAACTATTTGCAAGATATGACCTTCAACGGATACAACAAGAGTGTTTCGCGTGGTGAGGCAACGCGAGAGCTGGAGTATGTTTATAGTCCATTTCCGGGACTTAGTGTTGTGGCTGCCGTATTTACAAGGGATGATGGAACTGTGACGGGCACTCAAGTTCTCAGTGAAAGTGGCGGAGGTGGATCAAGCAGTATTTCGAATGATCTATAGTTCATTCGGAAGGCGATATTGTAATTAATAGCAAGTTGTGGCCGTGATGTATCTAGATATGGGAGGACTAGGCCATTTTCAGATATCGTATTCACGTGAATGCACTTTCAAAGATTGAACAAACCAATATTTTTCTCGCATAATCTCACCTTGCAAAACATCACTACTTTCCCACAGACCTTACTCTGCAAATGTTCAACCCCGCTCATCCTGACCTGTACGCAAAGTCATGTGTCCATATGCTCACTTCGTTGATTTGAAAAAATATTTTGACGCCAAGAAAATTGTCAGAAGCACACCAAACCCATGATTCGCGTTACAGCACCCCATCAATGTCCAGAAGATGTGTTCGAACAAGCGAAGTCGATAATTCAATATGGCTAGATGTCCGAGAGGATGCATTTCGCCGACATCTGGTAGAGCTTGAAGAAAGAACTAATGCAGTACCAATCGCGCCTCAGATATTTGATGCATCAAATTGGAGTCCAATCTATCCATATGCTACGGGATGCCATCACACTTTGCCACTCGAAATCGAAATGCGACTCGCTGATGATTTCGCATGTCTAGCTGCAGTCGAAGAGGGTGCGCAAAGTGTAGCTGCTGTCTGTATCGAAGAGCACACCGAGGACGCGAAACTCACCCTCAGATTTGCAGCTCTGGATACGACACTCAATGACACTGTCCAAGAAGCCTTACGAGAAATTTCCTCCCTCTTAGCAGTAGTATCTGTTCAAGATACTAGCACCATACCTAAATCCCTTGATCGGCTCTTCACCATTGTCGTTCGTTTGCACTATCGTCGTCTCCTCGCCAGATTGCGTTCTAGCAAATGGGAGAAGCCGGCATATTTGTCCAAGAGCCACAAAAAGCCTCTCTGGCAAGACTTCAAGAATGTACTCCATCGAGTTCAGTTTATGTACACCAAACGCGAAAAGCGTCAAAGACTGGTAGTTGAGCAACTTCTTGGTGAGCTAGAGCAAGTCTACAAACAATTTGATGAGGCCTCTGAAAATGATATCGCCAGTTTGGAGGGTCTCGTAACGTCAAGCTATGCGACAATTACTTCACCGGAGATCCAAGACTATGTTACTCGTTTAGAGGCAAGTGTTGGCACTTTGCCAACCGCGCAAGTTGCTTCTGCCATCAAATCTCTGAAGCAAATTCAAAAAGTGGCAGCTTACAGACGCATTTGCATCTCCTTACTCGAAATCGTACAAGAATATCCTCAGTTGTTCGATACAGGAATGTTGATGGATTTCGTGGTTCCTTTCCAAAGCGTGCCAACAGCAATAGGCTACGAAGAATGGGCAACCACTTGTCATGTCCACGCGGAGATTCAACTCGCCGTACACTATGATCTTGTGTTCCAAAACAGTCAACCGAACTTCTTGCCGCCACGAGTCATAGGCGTATCTAAATGGTTATGTTATCTCTGTTACCAGTTTCTCCACGCACATGGTCGTCTGTTTCCGTCAAGAACCCACGGCAGACTATACGACCAGTGGACGATTCCAGACTTAGCTGAGTTCGGCCACGATACTATGAAGCGTTATCGAGCGGCCGTCAAACTTGTCGATATGGAAGTTCTCAGGCACATAGATTGCGAACCTGAACTCCGGAGACTAGAGCCGATGACCAGCAACGACGTGTATGGGAAGTAGCCTGAGTTAATGGTAGGGCTTACCTCACTAATCTCGATGCTATTTACATGTTTGAATCATGCGTTGCACTTTGTTTTATCTTTACAGCAAACTCACATGTTTCTGCTAAAGTGCATACCTACTCTACGGGCTGTCAAACTTATCTGGACTTTTGTCAACAAGAAGACGCTTGTGGCAGCCAATATCATCTCGGTTTAAAGACGTCGGTTCACTCCAACAGGCGGAAATAGAAGCATGTGAGAGGTAAACATAAGAGTTGGAATCTGGGTTGACTCACATTTCGAAAGCAACTCCATCCACTGGAATCAGTGCTCTTGCCAACAAGTATACGATCTGGACAGGTTGTATCACCAACCCAAAGTGGCCAAATTTTCATTTGTACCGTTTGAATACATCGATATGCTTTTCTCCTAGTCCAAACACACTCAAATAAGTAATTTTGACAATGAGGTCTATGCATTAGCGGGTTGAAATGATCTTGACAGCTGTATGAGCCAAGAGGTCGAATAAATTCAGGTTGCAATTTCAGTAGCTGCCTAACAACTGTTGTGTCGATTTGGAACTATTTGTTGCGCGTGTTGAGTTGAAAGGTATGAACCTTAATATGGGGAGAAGTGATTTAGAGTGTGAATTTCATTGTTATGCAAGAATGGTATCTGATGGTACCGATTTGAGCATCACTGAGAGCAGGCAACCGAACAAAAAGTACGGAAATTCGACGACTGAACGTCTAATTATCTCCTTAAATTCTTCGCTTAAGCAATGCTCGTCCTGCCTTCAACACAACCCTTTCGCCAACTTTACACAAAAATCTCACTTCGATTCGCTCAGCGCGTTGAGGATCGTCCTCTACCCACATCTGAATACACAAGTGATCTCCTGGAAGTACAGGTGCCGCAAATCTTGCTTCAAACTCAACCAAGCAACATCCTCTACTCTCTCCAAAGCTTCGGATCACAGCATGAGCGCACATATTCCACGCGACGAGGCCGTGCATGATGACGCCTGGAAACCCCATAGCCGTTCCTGGTTCAGGAGTTGCATGAAGAGGGTTATAATCGCCATTCAGACTGTGAACATCATCAGTTCGATTGTTTAACAACTTCAGAACAGAATTGCAAGCAAAGAAAGAAATTTTGCTCACCGGTACAACAGACTGCTCTCCGTATTACTTCTCTCGTAGGCTACAATGTCTGCTTCCCTCGAAGGCATCACAACATCTTCCACTTTTGGTCCTCTCAGACCTCCCCAACCCCCTTGCCCGACATAGAAGCTATGGGCGTGTACCTCGGAGTAACATCTCCCAACATCTTCATCTACCAATTGGTGCAAAGAGTGTACGACAGTCCCGGAGCCTTTATCATAGACGCCAACTATACTCTTTCGCATACGGAAGTTACGACCTACAGTACTTGTTGGTAGAGGATGGTGAACAGTAAGATGTCTCAAGCCATCTACAACTTTTGAAGGATCGAGAGCTGGAGGTGGAGGTGTGAGTGTTGGGATTGGTGGATGCGGAAGTGTTGTCGAATAGGGTATGACTTCTTGACTATCGTTTTTGAACGCTTCTCTCTCATCAGTTGGGGTCGTTCCTTACAGGCAAGAGTATTGCAGAAACATTCTTGGCTGTTTGAATTGAGGATACACACATAAGATCACTGGATACGTTGGAAAAACCTGGAATTCAGGGTGTAGTTCCTGGCAGCGGTTAGGATTCCAAACATGAGCATACTGCGAACTGGCTATTTACATATAGAAATTGTAACTCGTCGACTTTACAACCAATACTAAGTGCGAAGAGCAAGACATCTCGCTTAAGCCACGACACTGGTGTTGAAACAGACATTGAGTGTGAAAGATACCAAAAGCAACATGTGGATCACTTCAATATCGGCAAAGGTTCAGACATACGGCAACTGCTCAATACAGACTTGCAGCTCATCACTCAATTTCATTCGTGAAGACGGTCCAATAATTGAAATTCCCTAGCCGAGCAAGTATCAGGTCCGATACCGTTAGATATTTCTACACGGAAAATGATACACACAAACACAACTCGAATGTTTTTTGAACACGAAGCACACGTCACGTCACTTTTCATTACGTTAAGCCAAGAAGACGAGCTGCAAGCGAGAGGGGTACTTTCGCTAGTGCAGTGGGGTTTCTTAATCTAATCAATCGGCCATCTTATCAGATCGATACCCTGTCACCGTCCCTGCAAGTCCCCCTCTAGCTTGTCAAGGGTCTATATTCTGGCATTTATCCCTCTTGTAGGGTAGTTTGTGGTAAGGTTTATCAAGAAAGCTCAACGGCGTGATCTATGATTACGCTAATGTCGGCTCCTTTCAAGCCAATTCCCACTCCCTCGGCAAGAAATGGAGCTCGATGGGACGGATGAATCTTTCCAAGAATAATGACGCTAATAAATCTCCTGATCTTATCAGATCGTGATTCTCACCGGCACCGATGTCGCAAAATGCGGGCGAAAAGTTGAGTAGCACTGTCGATCCGTTTCTGGAGAGTACCCCGAAGTCTGCCGCCCTCGCATGTGGATATATCTTGGACTTCTAGGTAAAACGGTACTACACTGGATCAGGAAGCAAGCTAAGGTGGGACTGGGAAATTCTATAGATTTTTGGCATTGTGACCAGTCAAGGTACCTCGCAGTCCTTGTCTCGTAGGAATCCGTCATTGGGGATTAACACATATTCTAAACTTCTGAGAGCTTCTGGGAAATTGTTTTGTCTTCTATTGTTATTCTATTTACTTACTCAAGTTGCGGGTATATACACCAGACATAATGGCAGACCAGTGGGATAACTTTCAATTCGCTCTTCCACATCCCCATCTCACAGCATATCGAATATATCGTTCGGCGGACGGAGACGCAGCAACATCAGCGAACTTCAAGATTGAGCTTGTGAAAGATCAGCCAGAGAAGAATATAAAATCAAGAGCTTCAAGCCCACTTTATAATTCAAATGTCTTGTTCAGCCATCTACTAAGAGGAGACAACATATCAATTGACGATAATACGCCGTGGGCGAGAGCTCGTCGGGCTCAATATGCGACGGTCCAATGGCAAGGAAACACACCTCCAACGCTGGCTCAAATTTGGCTTATTATATACGCTTCCCTATCACTTTCGCCTGATCACGAGTATTTCCGTCTGAATCTTCAAGGTAGTGGAAATGAAGAGCTCCGAAAAGACCTCATTTCCGTTGGTCTTGCTCGCCAACACCCTCTTCCAGTGGATGCGAAATCACAAACACCTTCAGACGAGATCCTCATACTGCGCGGAACCTTCTGGCAAGGAGCTGGCTCTCCATCTGGACCAAGACCAGTATGGCTTGCGGACCAAATATCCCTCAAAACAACTCCAAACGAACTATCTTCATACCCATTGATGCCACTCACATACACCCAGACCACCAAATTCCCAACCACTCGAATCTACGCACATCACCCAGTGCGACCAGCAAAGCCAACGCCTGGATCCGTCATCTACAGCCGCTACATTCCTCATCTCCAAGAAGATTTTTCTATGGTAGCACTGGATTACGAGAACCCTGAACACCTGAATCTGTTCCACACATGGCAGAATGATCCACGTGTCGCACAGGGTTGGAATGAAACTGGGAGCTTGGAACAGCATAGAACTTATTTGAAGAACTTGCATGAGGACCCTCACATCATCACTCTTCTTGCTAAGTTTGACGATGTTTTCTTTGCTTATTTCGAGGTATACTGGGCAAAGGTACGATTCCGAATCTCCTTCCAGAACTCGAAAACATACTGACAGATTTCTCCAAGGAGGACACACTAGGAGCATACTACGACGCAGGCGACTTTGATCGCGGACGACACTCTCTGGTCGGTGACATCCGCTATCGCGGCCCTCACCGAGTAAGTGCATGGTGGTCGAGTCTCATGCACTATATCTTCCTCGACGATCCACGCACCACCTGCGTAGTTGGCGAGCCGCGGGCGACCAACAGTAGAGTGCTGGCGTATGATCTTGCACATGGATTCAATATTGAGAAGTTTGTGGACTTTCCGCATAAGAGAAGTGCGTTTGTCAGATGTCCTAGAGAAAAGTTCTTCAACATTTGTCCGTTTGAATGGGATGGTGGCAGGAGTTTGGAGGAGGCGGATACGTTTTATCAGGCTGCTAGGGGGTCTAAGTTGTAGCTAGCTCACTCTACTTCTTGAGCGAGTATTTGAACCCCAATTGAATGGTTTCCCTCTGCACATTGGATTTGAGATGACAAGATTTCCAATATGTTTCCTTGTGGCGATGCCAATTTAAAAATTTACTAGCAAGTATGTAAACAATCTACACCTAACACCTATGCTCTCAAAATCCATCTAAGAGTATTTCTCTAGTCTTCGCGCACGAAGCAAAAGAAAGTTAGGCAAATCAAAGTCTCGCCTTAACAGACTCATCAGCTCCAGCTCTCGCCGCAACAACCTTCTCCGCCAAAATTCTCAAATCAGGTTTCTTTACCTTACCACTCCCCGTCTGCGGAACCTCGGCCGGTACACCCTCTTCACCAAACCAGAAAACGTGAGCAGGAGCCTTATGTCTGCCCAGTGTCTTTCTAGTCCACTCTCTTATGTCTCCTAGTGATAGGTTCGTCCTCGTACAAACCGATGAATCAACGTGCTGTAAGAATGCACCAACAAGTTCTCCGTATTTAGGATGCTTGACTCCAATAACTACCGCTCGATTGATTTGCGGATGTTGGCCTAGTCTGGCTTCGATTTCAACGGGATAAATATTCTCACCACCTATAGATTCTGTTAGTCAATTCTCTCATTCGTGTCAACCATTCTTACCTCTAATAATAATATCCTTAAACCTCCCAGTGATAGTGCATCCTCCATCCTCGGTGAAACTCGCTTCGTCACCAGTATGTAACCACAGAATACCGTTCTCATCACGTTTCATCACCTCTGCTGTTTCCACCGAATTGTTCCAATACCCCTTTTGCAGTGAGTATCCAGCGATGCAGAGTTCGCCGCGAGATCCCAGAGGGACAATCGCACCAGTCGTATCTATGATCTTAGCTTTGAGGTGAGGCAGGAGTCGACCGACAGTTGTGAGACGAGTATCGACTGTGTCAGCTGTAAAGGCATTGAAGCAGGTTGGAGAGGCTTCTGTGAGACCGTAACTGCTGGTAAACTCACTCATTCCAAGTTCACTCAAAAGTCTTCTCATAAGAGGCACTGGTACTGGAGCGCCTGCAATAATACCTGTTCTCAGAGCATCACAATTCCAGCCTTCCGGTCTTGGTAGACTCAAGATCTCTTCAAACATAGTAGGAACTCCATGTAGCGCTGTACAGTTTTCTTCTGAGATTGCTTTCAGAACTGCTGTAGCGTCAAATGTCTCTGCAGGAAGAACAATTTTTGCGCCATGGGTGAGGACGGCAAGGACACCGAGCACAAGACCGAAACAGTGGAACAGAGGAGGCGGACAACAGAGGATATCCTCTTCTGTGAAATCTAAACGGTCTCCGATTGAGGTTGCGTTATTGATGAGATTACTACCACGATCAGTTAGCATTCAAAAATCTAGTCTTTGGTGAAATCGGAACATACAAATGAGTAAGCATAGCAGCTTTGGGATGCCCAGTCGAACCGCTTGTATACTGAAGATTACAAGTATCATCAGGATATACAGCAATGCGTTCTAAAGGCTCTGGACCAAGTTTTCTTCCTTCGTCTTTGAGATTGGAGTAAGTCATGAAACCTCCAAGTGCATGTCTTAACATGACAACATTTTCTAAAGTTTTTGATCTTCCATGTTCTTGCGGCCGAGGACCAAGCTCATTAACCAGTCCACGTAGACTCATACGTCCAATTTTTGGTACGGTAAATAGAAGCCGACAATCTATTTATGCGATCAGCTGTGGTCCACTAAACTTTGGGTTTCTCACTTACCAGAATGCGACAAAGCATTCATAGCTTCCTGTGTAGTGTACGTATTATTCAGAACCACCAAGATCGCGCCGATGTAACCAGCAGCAAAGAAAACGGCAACATATTCAGCACAGTTCCCTGCCAAAATTCCTATTCTATCACCAGGTCTGATGCCAAAAGCAAACAAGCCTTGAGCAACCTGTAAAGCCTCCCGCTGTAACTTGTTATAACTCCACCGCGAATTGATGGAAGGACATATGATAGCCTCGTTGTCACCGCGTAATTCTGCCTGTTCGTCGAGAATCTCGCCTAGAGTTTTGTACCGTAAAGGTGGATAGTTGGCTCCCTGAAGGATCGATGGAGGGTGATGATTCTTAGGATGCTCAATTGTGAATTCCATCTTGATTGAAACCCGATTTTGGGAGTGACCGTCCTTGATGATTTTTATCTGGCTCCCTAATATCAGATATTACAGTAGAACAGCATTGCAAGTCCAAAATCAAGTCAATGTCTTTCTGATCGGTTCGAATTGAACTGGCCGACAACCATCAAACTGGGAGTTCTGAAAGTCGCATGTTTGGTAGTGTCAATACTTTGCACGAATTAAGTGACGTACACAGAGAAGATCGACCCTGCAAGTCACATCAATGAGGAGGGATTTTGCTTCATGTTCCGCGCAGACAAGTTACGGTAAATCCTATCGTTCTACAATTCGAGAATACTTACCCAGAAGGGTAGTATATATGCAGCAAGGATCAGCAGCCTCATGCATTGCATAATGGCCAGGTAATCTGCGCCGGACCCAAAAGCTCGTTTTCGGCAACCGCATATTATTCCTAGCACCACTGGCAATTCCAACTCAGATCCTGCGTCCGGCCCATTCATGCAAACCAATGACTTTGAAATTCAACAATTTCGGAACGGAACTCGAGAGGCAAGGTGATTCTCGGGGCTTTCCGCAATCGGCTTTTGCGTTGAAGTGGCTTTTATAAAACAAAG